AAGTATGTACCGCGCATCGAGATGCGGGCACGTTCAACAGCAGTCTCGCAACGCACCCTCTGTGTCTTCCATGCCACACCTTTCTCGTGCTGACCACTCCCGCCCTCTTACGCCGTCCCTGGCCTGACGCCTTACGAGACACACACTAGAGAAAGAGACGCACTACTTGTCAGCTATCTTGATACGGGGGCACACCGTTCTTTGACCGTGTTTCGGGTCCTCGGTTTCTTGCTTCGTCGTGGTAACTTGATGCGCGTCCACCGCGTTTGTCGATGTTTTCATTATCCAGCCGTCAAAGATGAACATTGCAACGAAGGAGTCCTGGGTCTCATACTACTTGGCGAAGCAGACAAGAAAGACTACAGTTGATTGATGAAGCCAAACTTCGTGTCGATAGTCCATGTCCTGTCGGTCTGCTGCTCACCTCGGCGGAGCAGACCTTCACTGTAAAAAAGCTCGTTCTTTTTCCCCCCCGAGGCTGCCATCAGAAAGTAAAATACCGAATGGTATGAGCCACATACAGGAGAGTGGCGTGTTTGCATCCTAGCGTCTTGTTCGACAAGTTGACAACGGTAAATGAGCTTATGCGCCTTTTCATTGTCCCCCTTTTCAACTTCAACTGCGGTGGAAATAACATGATGAATGTTATTTATGATCGAAAGGTCTCACTCCGCATACCCAGCGTTCGGAAACAGTGAACCTCACAGCAATACAACGACAAAATAGCACGCAGAAAACAAAACCAAGGTGAAAGCCATCTGGTACAAAGCACATTTCCGCCGTTTCTTGTTAATCAATAATGCAGGTCTTTACCCGACACCAATCGTAAGAGAACAATTAACTTGCATCAAAAGACGTCGGTCGTCTAGAGACTCAGCATTTCAATATCTTTTTGTCGACAACTCCATGCTTGTCCAAGTCTGTGGGTCTGTGCCATCCTTCACCGTCGATCTGTTTCTCTCGTTCTGTCGTCTTCCCGGTAAATCGACAATATCAAATACTGAAACACTGGACATTCTGCAAGGTGGCCGCAGACTTTCTGCAGAGTGTGCCTTGCCGTGTCTCTGTCTCAAGCAACCAAGCAACCAAGCAACCCCCAAGAAGCAGCGCGGGATCATGCTGCATCGAGCAGTAGCATCCGCAGCCAAACGTGACCTATTAATAGTCAAGAGGAGGGTGTATCTGGTGTCTATCATGGCGAAGGAGTAGCATCGTAAGCCGTGAAGAGCGAAGATCGGAGGATCGGAACATTTTCTTTCGTTTTTGAATTGAATTGCTCGTTTCTTGGATTTACCAAACGTGGCAGGCTCTTCCCAGTCTTTTCCCGACCCTTCTTTCCGACCAACCTACATCGACTCGTTAAGGGTACAAAATATGCATCTCCGAAGTCACGGAAGCAGAGAACGGCCGAAAAGTTTGAAACAGAGAGCAACGAAATCTACTTGGATCCGGGGTGCAACATGGCCAGCCACTGCTCCTCTTGATAAGAAGGCCGATGTGGCATGATGACCAGCTGAAAAAAAAAAATGGCAATCGTAGTGTGATAATGGCCTGTTTCTAAAAACGACGGACAGCTATATGAGGACTCTGATATTGCCTTTTAGTCCGTTGGATCTTTCTCTATTCAGGTGTAATGTGGCTGTGGGCTGAGTGGACTTTGACACCGCTACTTTGTCCAATATTTCGCACTTTTGTCTGACATCCCTCTTCCTGCCTTTTCTTTTCTTTCCTTTTTTTCACGGTCAACCATCCTCTTTGCAAGTCATAGAGTTTCGTCATTTTCACCCCGCTGCCCCCATCGGATGGCAGATGGACATGACGGAGTAAATGTGACAGAAATGCGATTTGGGGAAATACAAGACAAAAATGAATAAAGCTCCACATTCCCATATCCATACATGTTCACATAAGGCGTTCATAGTTCGTTCATACAGCGTTGCCTTTTGTCTTTTCCATTCTGTCTCTCTCGCTGTACTATCTTACTATCTCTCTCGTTTCATTGGTCCGGCGCAGCTTGCGTACGCTTCCGCGGACAACGGGCGCAGCGAAACATGCGGTGAAGGTAGGAATACAGAAATACAAATACCGCGTAATACTCCATGCAAAAAAAAAGAAAAGAAAAAGAAAAGACAAGAAAAGACAAGAAAAAGAAATAAGAAGTAAAAAAGAGGAAATATTAGTTTTGTCTTTTAAACCTGCCATTTCGAGAAGAACAGAAATTAAAATGCAATCGAAAAGCTCACACCGTAAGAAAAAGAGGCTCACTCGACGTTCTTGTTGCCTGTTCCTGGTCGAATATCACGATACCACCGTTTGGCAAAGTACAACGTCATCCCGGACGAGCAATGGAACGATTACGGGAGATCACGACGTTTCTATTTCCTGTTCGAACCCGTGCAGGCTCACCTAGAATGCAGATGGACCAGGGAGGCGCGTATGCACACCCTTGTTCCTTAAAGGCTACGACAATGACAGATCGACAAGCAGAAGTAATACGACTGAAAACGACCAACGCAAGCCCCCCGGTCATAGACGGTGTTCTCGCTAGTTGCGATGCCGTTCTCGCCCTTCCAACTCATGCCAGCATGTTTCATTTTTATTTGGTTCTCTGGTATTTTGGGGGTCGTCGTGCATCGCATTTTAGACAGGGGCAAGCCAAAGACGAGCCATTTTATCCCAACCCAGCTGCAAGCCAGGCGATGTCTTTGCGGTGTAGGGAGTAACAATACGTCGTGGTTTTGTGGGCTTTTGTGGCATACGGTTTTGCTGCAAGGTAACTTGCCTCTGCACCAGCATCTGCCCGGCGCTTGTGCCTGCGCTGCATGCGGTGCCTGCATCGACGTGTACCAAACATGCTGAGAAGGAAGAAAAGAAGACGGTAGAAGCAAGTGACTCTTGCTGGCTGTTTCCCGTATTTTCTGTTTTAGATTCTATACATATCGGTTGCGACCAACGCATATCGATACCATTTTGCAGACGAAACATACGTAAGTGGAAAAGAAAATTCAATCGAAACCCGAATGTAATAAAAATAAAATAAAAATAAAAACTGAATTAAACCCACTCAAAAAAAAAAACATTCATCAGACCGCCTTACTTTGCTCTCAAGGAAGCTCGTAGTATGACTCAACAGGTCACGATGGAAACTACCTTTCTCCATAGTTGGGCACGACGTGGGTTGGTCTATCCGTCTTTGGTTCGGCATACTCTTGTTTGTTCTTTTGTCTTTTGGAGTCTGCCTAGATGTTGCCACAAGGATACAGAGTTATTGGAACACAATTACAAAGGTCTATGCCAATCTGCTGCCTGGTTGGAACATCGACGGGTGTTGGGCCCGAACGAAAAAGCAGGGCGAGATGACAATCATTGCACACGCTCGTACGCTCGTACGCTCGTACACAGTCAGAGAGAAGGCAAGACAGGCCGTATCACCACATCCAGGCGGGCCGCATAGACTCTCTCGCCTTGTCTCTTGCGTCTGTTGGGCACTCTTTCTGCGAGAATAGCAGGCACCATACGATGTACGATCTGCGTCCCACGTTCTAGGCTCACAATAGGCCTCTGCAGCCGGCCGTGAAACTGATGATATCATGTACGCAGCCGGCGATGATTGAGTTTCTGTGGCAGACGTAAGGCGAGCTCTGTTTTTCGTAGTTGTCGCGGCGTCGGTATATTGCACCCGTTTATCAGACTGGATGTTCCCTAAGGGACAAAATACAACATCGTGAAGGCAATTAGATTCCTGGCTGTGATCGCAGGGACATTGTGGAATCGAAGCGAGGGGACACGGCGATGGTCAAATAACGTCCGCCCCTTTCGTGGTGCAGTGATGGTCGTCTACAGATGACCTACTCTAGTTCAGTGAAGCAGAAAACGAGTAGGCCGATAGCAACATCTCCTCGTCGTCTTCCCGCAATTCCACGGCCTCTGCAATGCGGCCGCCTCGTTACACGCCCATGCTGTGCCGTCATGCTTTTGACAGGCACATCCCCGCCTTGGAATCTCCAACAGGAGGAAATGGTGTCTCGCAGCGATTCCATGCATTTCTATGCTGTCCCTCGTCCGGAAGGGCTAGGGACAGCAAGCCCGGAGGCTTCTCGTAGCAGCCTGCACGTCTCGGATACCCTGAATCAGTCCATCCGCCGGTGTCTGAAGGTTGTGCATGTGGCGGCGTCTGCGTTATGTCTTTGTGGACGTCTCCGGTCGTAGTATGTCTTATATGAATCTCTGCCCTCCCACATTGTCGGACAAGAAGGCTGGTTGCACGACAGGACCATGTTGGTTTCCCCTCAGATAGATTGATCAAAGGGGTGGTAGCCCCGGGGAGAGGGGGAGAAGAAAAAAGAAGAGGAGAAGAAGGGAAACAAGGCAATGACAAAATCACGAACAATACAGCGAGGACACAAAGGAGGATGGGGACGTAAACGAGAATGAACGACGAATAGACGAAATCGAGCCAGGTACGAGGATTTGAAAAAGCAGGGTAGTATCTCAAGATAACACGAACAAGAAGAGAAACGTCAAATATGACCAAAAACAAAACGCCTGGTATTGCTCGCTGCATGCTGTTAAATGATCTATGGAATACGGGACACTGCGGATACTGTGTTATTGCCTCCTCACCACTCGTATGAGATATCGACTCGTGAACCTGACCTCCCGTCGTCGTTTTGTCTCCTCCCCCATCTCGCGGAACGTCGTACCACGACGCAGGACACTGGCAAAAAGAAAGGAAATAAAAGGCCCATCACCTCTGATTTGACGCCGACCCACGACAGGAAGCACCCGAGGAGAGGAAGAGAAAGTGTCTCGTCTCATGCCACTCATACTGTAGTCGTTGGCTCTTCTCGTTCCCGAGATGCCGTCGGAAGCACGGCAGCACCAAGCACGAGCAGGATGGAGAGGCCGTGACGACGAGGGACGAGAGACTGGGCCGTCTAGATGTTGATTTCCTGGTGCCTGCTTTGTGCTTTGTCCTTTGGGTCATTGTCGACATCGTCATGGCCGTCGATTCCGCTGTGACCTTGCCTTTCTGTCGCATCCATCCACTTTCTCCCACTTTGTCCTCCCCCCGCCTCCTGTACGCGTATCCAAACGCAGCACACGATCCTCTCTGAAGGGTTGTACAGAAGCGGGGAGAATGCGAGCACAAAAGGGAGGCCAATACCAACAAGGAAAGGACAAAGGAAGAGGCAAGGGAAGGTGCTACAGTGTGATGCGGCCGGTCCTGTCTGCAATTTGTGTCCCGTGTTTGGTGCTCGTGTGTACGTGTGTGTTGGTGTTCGGCTGGACTGGTGTACAGAGGACAGAGGTTTGTTGCTTGCAGCCTGGCTGTCTCGTGAAGAGCCCTTTCCCTTTGCCTTTCCCTTTGCCTTTCCCTTTCCCTTTCCCTCTTCTTTGTTCATTGGTACACCTGCGTCGGACTCACGCAAAGTCCCACAGCTTCACCAGCAGCGCATCCTCTGCGGCGCCGTGTCGGCTGTCCGCAGCCTCTGGCGCCGGCGTGTCGTGCGGCAGAAAGATGCGCTTGGGGATCTGAAACTCCACCACGGGCGTCTTGCGGACCGCCTTGCCAAACTCGGCCTCGAGCATGCTCTGGTACGAGTGGTCGAAAAAGTCTTCGACGTTGTAGGCCTGCTTGGTAAACGGCTCTGCCAGGATCTTGGCAATCGTCGCCACGTTGGGGTGGTAGTGGCTCTGCAGCTGGACCACCTCCCAGAGGCAGCTGTCGATGGCGCGCGTCTCCATGGGGTCGCGCTCGCGGGGCCGGAACGGGTCGGCCATGCCCTCGTCGGCCAGCCGGGCGCGCGCCTCGGGGGTGCGCGGCACGCGGTGGATCATAAAGGTGCACTGCGGGTGCGTCTTGAGCATGTTGTAGATCCAGGGCACGACGCTGACGATGGCGCTGGGCGGCGCGTGCAGGCACAGACGGGCGAGACGCTTGATGAAGCTGGCGACCATCTGGACGGGCAGGTGCGTGGACGCCAAGAAGGTGTCGAGCAGCCGGAAGAAGCGCGCGCGGTGCTTGGAGTGCAGGAGCTCGGCGTCGAGCAGCGAGTAGAGCTTGGGGAAAAAGGCCGGGTAGTCGACGTTGCGCTGCTGGATCAGGTAGTAGAGGCCCGAGAGCGCGAGCAGCGACGTCGACCCGCCGGCGTCGTAGCAGTCGGTCAAAAAGTCGAGCATCATCTCGGGCTGCGCAAACCAGGGCGCAATCACCGTGGACGAGATGGCGAGCGCGCGCTTGCGGAGCGTCTTGCCGTCCGCCGACGACGCGACCGACGCGACCGACGAGACCGACGTGGCTGTCTGGAGCACCGCCAGCCACGCGTCCTGCGCCTGCTTGCGGTGCTTGGCGACCGAGTAGAGCGCATGGCTGCGCTTGCGCGGCGGCGGGTTGATGTAGAACGTCGCCAGCTCGTCGCTCGTGGCCGGCACGTCGTCGAGCAGCGAGAGCAGGTAGAACGCGCCGTGTGCGGCCGTGCTGCTCGCGGGGCTGTCGGGGCCCATGTCGGCGAGCACGGCCGACACCGCCTTGAACGTGTAGAACTGCACGTCGCAGTACTCGCCGACGTACGTCTCGACAAACTCGTCGGCCAGGCCCTCCGCCGTCGCAGCGTCGAGCGTGGCCGATGCCAGGACGAGGCCGCGCACAATGGCCGTCAGGAACGGCTGCGGGAAGACGTACGTCTCCTCGTCGCCGGGCCCGCCGGCCTTCTTCCGTCGTGACTGGCCTTGGGCTTGCAGCAGACGCATGGAGAGCGTGAGCGCCGTCGACGCCGCGTCGCCGGAGCGGCCGCCCAACAAGCCCAGCAACACCGCCTCGTACTCGGCCAGCCGGTCCTTGAGCCACCGAACGACAACAACTTCCTTGTCGGACATGCTGCGGTTCAGGTTGAGGCTGCCCGCTGCCAGCAGACGCATGAACACGCGGCAAAGGGCAACGGCAGCCGCCAGGGCCGGACTTTGCTCTTCATCCTCGGCCTGGCCGTCTTCGTCGTCTTCGTCGTCTTCGTCGTCCTCTTCGCTGTCCTCATCTTGCTCACCTCCCTTCTTTGCAATCTCAAGCAGCTCTACAATATTGTTGTAGTGCTTCTTGGACTCGCCGATTTGGCCTTCCAGCAGCAGAATGCGCTCTTGGACATCAGTTTCGCCGTTGTCGCTCCTCTCGTCGTCGCTGCCGTTTTCCGAACGGGCCCGTTTTCGCGGTGCGTCGGTCTTGGTGCTGCGTTTCCGCTTGGCAGCTGCTGCCGCCTTGGTTGTCGTAGCAGCAGACATTGTGTGTGCGTGGGCGGAACGTCCTGTTGTCTGAGGAGAGGGAGACAAGAGAGTAGTGAAGCTTTCACTTTTTTTTGTTATCGTCTTATCGCGATTCTGAATTTTAGTGGACCCCGTCCCAATGAGAGTCACGTGTGCATTACATAATACAGCCCCCTGGCTAAGGTGGACCAACCAGCGCGTTTTGCCGATGGCCCGACACAAGTGCTGTCCAGGGCCTCCGGCACCATAACAGCGCTTCACGTGACCTTCTATTAATTCCCGCTAGCGACCTGTTCCGAAAAACCTCATTTTCCCTTTTCCGAGCTCCATCCGGTATTTCACGTTTCTTCAGAGCAACACCTACCACCACACGCATCACGACCGGCGACCGATCTGCATCACCGCTCCGTCGCATCCGCCTCTCCCTCTCCTCCGACCTTTCTTTTCTAGCAGCAATGGCGTCCCGTTTGGCGAGAAACGCGGCTGGTGAGTTGGGCCCGAGTCAATTGAGGGGGCGTTTCAGCGTTTCAACTCGACTGCATACATAAGCACCACAGCTAACAGCGGAACATAGGCCTCGCCCGCCTGCGGCCGGCCCTGTCTACGCGCCCTGCGCTCCCGGCCCTGGCGTCCACCGTCCGCATGTCGTCGACCACCCCGTCGTCGTCGTCGTCGTCCGTCCCGACCGAGGACCCCAAGGCCAAGGCATCGAGCATCCTCGACGCGCTCCCCGGCAACTCGCTCATCTCCAAGTCGGCCATCCTGTCGTCGGCGGCCGGCCTGTCCATCTACGCGCTGAGCAACGAGTACTACGTCGTCAACGAGGAGACGGTGGTCGCCTTCTGCCTCATCAGCGTCTGGGCGGGCCTCATCAAGTACGGCGGCCCGCTGTACAAGTCGTGGGCAGAGTCGCAGAACGAGAAGATCCGCGGCATCCTGAACGCGGCGCGCGCGGACCACTCGCAGGCGGTCAAGACGCGCATCGCGGACGTGCAGCAGATGTCGGGCGTGGTGGACATTACCAAGAGCCTGTTTGCCGTGTCCAAGGAGACGGCGACGCTGGAGGCGCAGGCGTTTGAGCTGGAGCAGAAGACGGCGATTGCGGCCGAGGCCAAGTCGGTGCTCGACTCGTGGGTGCGGTACGAGAGCCAGGTCAAGCAGCGCCAGCAGCGCGAGCTGGCCGAGAGCGTCATTGCCAAGGTCAAGAAGGAGCTGGAGAACCCCAAGTCGCTGCAGCAGATTCTGCAGCAGGCCGTTGCGGATGTTGAGAGTACGTTCTTGCCCCCTGTCCTTGGCGATGGCATGGGATCGATGGCAAAAGGCGGTCGCCTACAGTCGTCGACCCCATTCAACCTGCTGTGATCCCATCTTGTGCAATTTTGATTTTAATCATTTCTAACTCTACCCCCAACAGAGATTGCTGCTGCCAAGCAGTAAATTGTCAACGGCATCCGTTGAATCGACGACCAACGACGATCTCGGTTTTGACTGTCAGCAACACGCACGTCTGAACCCGGGCCCTTACCTCACGCCAACCTCTACGAACAAAACTTCTTATTGAAATAGAAAAAGACAACCCTTGAGGGAAAAGCAGGACCCGACAAGAACCAACCCGCGACACCCACCACGAGGCCGCGACATCCTTTCCCTTTGTACCTAGTCTTTTTGTGTGCCATAGTCAAATATCATTGTCATTTCTTTTCTTCACGACGTCGACGACATCGGATGTTCGATGGTCCTTTGATGACGCTCTTTTGGATACGTTGTTGGATACGTTTTTGCATACTATCGAAGATGATGTATATTCTAACGAAGCAGATCTGCGCAACTCGACTCGTCGCCCACCGCTTCGCTCAGTACAGCCACGGCCGCACCTGGTACTCGGGCTGGTCCTCCGGACGGCCCTCGACGGGTGTGTCGACAAACTCGGGGTTGATGTACCACGACGGGTCGCCACCGGGCTCCTGCGTCACGCTGCGGCCGTTGCCGAGCCAGCGCATGCCGTTGGCCTGGGGGCCGTCGACGCTCTCGTAGTCAAAGTCCTCCCAGCGCGGGGCGCGCAGCGCCTCGAGGGCGTGCACCGTCGACCCGGGCCACAGGCCGCAGATCCAGTCGCCCGTGCCGCCCTGCGTGCGGTACCACGAGCGGCAGTTGTCCATGTAGACGGTGTTGGCAAAGTAGGCGCCAATGTACTGGGTGAAGTCGTCGACGCGCTGTTTTTTGGGCTCGATGGTGGCGTAGTCCTCGCGCTGGACCTTGCGCAGGACCTGGACAATGTAGCCGCACTCGGCCTCCAAGATCTTGGTGAGGCTGCCGAAGCCGATGGCGGAGTTGGGCCCGAACATCATGAGGTAGTTGGGGAAGCCGTCGACGGCGACCGACAGGTACGACTCGGGGCGCGTGGCCCAGCGGTCCTGCAGCTCGCGGCCGTCGCGGCCGCGCACCGAGAACGGCGGCGGCTCCGAGACCTTGAAGCCCGTGGCGCAGACAATGACGTCCACGTCCAGGTGGCGGCCCCCGGCGGTCCGCACGCCGGTGGCGTCGACGCCGGCGACGGCCTCGGGCAGGACCTCGACGTTGGGGGCCATGAGGGCCTCGAGATAGCCCTTGCCGGGCGTCAGCCGGCGGCAGCCGGGGGCAAAGTCGGGCACAATGAGGTCAAACAGGTCCGGGCGCGCCTTGAGGCGCTCCTGCATGCCGCTGCGGAAGAGGCCCTGGAACAGCTTCTGCATGTCGGTGCCGAGGATGGTGGAGTCGTGGATGGCGTTGCCGTCCGTCTCAAAGGCCTTGCGGAGCTTGAAGTAGGCGTCCTTGTCGGCGGCCCACTCGGCGCGGCGTTCGGGGGGAACTGCCGTCGTTGCATTCGTTAGCTAGGAAGGCGAACAGGGTACACATCAGGGGGCAACGTACAGTCTACTTCGTTGGGATCCAGCCCCAGCTGGACCATGGCATTGTCGCCAAAGCGCGAGGAGATCCAGGTCTTGCTGCGCATAAACACCTTGAGGTCGGTGCCGGCGACCTTTTGCAGGCTCGGCACGATCTGGATGCTCGACGAGCCGTTGCCAATGACGGCGACGCGCTTGCCGGTGAAGTCGTAGTCGGTGTCCCACGCGGCCGAGTGCATGATCTTGCCCTTGAACGCGTCGAGGCCGTCGAGGTCGGGCCAGTTGATGTTGCTCAGCTGGCCGCGCGCGGTGATCAAAATGTTGCAGCGCTCCTCAAAGGCGGTGCCCGTCGCCAGGTTGGTCACCTGCAGCACCCACTCCTTGGTGGCGGCATCCCAGGCGGCGCTCGCGAGCTTGTGCTGGGTCTTGATGAAGCGGGTGGCGCCGAAGCGCTCGGCCGTCGACTGCAGGTACGCCTGGATCTCCTTGCCGGGGGCGTAGAGGGAGGACCAGTTGGGGTTGGGGTTGAATGTGTATTGGTACGAGTGGGCTGCAGAGAGCGTTGAGAAGGCTGTGTGAGCGGCGGACACAGACGCAGTTCAGTCTTTGTGAAGAAAGGGCCTTACCAGGAATGTCACAGGCAATGCCCGGGTACTTGTTCACCCACCAGACACCACCGATGCCCTCTTCCTTTTCGTAGACGATGAGGTCAACATTGCGGAGCCGTTGAGGTATCCTGTTGGTTGTTGATTGTTGTTAGTCGTGTGTTTCCATTGTTCTTGTTCGAGTGGCATGTTGACCTACCGAATGGCGGCCACGATGCCAGAGTAGCCGGCACCGATGACGCGGACCTTGAGCGGCCGCAGATTCTCGACGTTGGCGTTCTTGAGTGTAAAGTCGGCCATGGTGCGGGAGGTAGATATTTCGAGAACTTGTTTGCAGTCTCGTCGTGTTGTCGGAACTTGCCGAGTTCTGTGAAGATGCAGAGGAAGAAAAGCTACGGAGTAGAAAACGAGCAGGAAAGAAAGTGACGAGAGTTTAGAAACAACAGACATATTTTTCCAAAAAAAAAAAAAAAAAAAAAGTAACTACCTCTGTGAGCCTTGCCGCGGGATGTTTATCCGTGTGAGGGGACTGGCGTGTTGGTGCGATGGTCTTGGGGCCGGCGACGGGGAATAGGAAATAGGGTCGATGGAAGCGAAGGGGAGACGATGGCGCCGAACGAGAATAGTGACGAGCAGAGACAACAAAGACAACAGAGACAACAGCGACACATATACACGCAGCATCGACAGAAAGGACTATGAAAGACTACAAAGAACACGATAGAAAAAGGCGCATCGCGAGATTATATACGATATGCACATATGTATGTGCTTGCATCGGTTTGGATTTGGGGTTGGGTCTGGACCGCCGCGAACAGTAGACGAGGAAGAGACTACAATTACGACACCGACGAGGGGAGACACGGTCCCTGAGCGTCTCGATCTGGCTGCAAGTTGCTCCGCACAGAGCGCAGAGTGCACATGGAGGAGACGGAACGCAAACCACAGGAACCGGCCAGGTGTGGCAGGCCAGGAGCGGTACGCCAGAAGTGGTACGCCAGGTGTGGTAGGCTGTTTGGAGACAGAGCAGTCGAGGGCGGACGATGAGGAGTGCAATGCATGTCGTATGCAGGCCTGTAACAATGCAAATGCTGCACGGAAGCTGAAGCAGGGTATGATTTCAACAGAAAGGGCATCCGGGTGGTGGCTTCCGGGGCCATGAGTGACGCTTTCGTTTTGGCCAGGTTTGACCGTCTATTTTACGATGTCTCCAACCCCACGTAAAACAACTGGTGCCGTCTTCCAAACGTACGGAACGCTCAGTTTGGGGCGACGGAGCCGAAAGGCTGGTATGGCGACGTTGTCTCTCATCTCTCGACGTTCTTTCTTGTCGTCCACACGAGTGCCGAAGAGACTAAGACAAGGGGCTGAAAGCCTGTGGAGATTTGCGGAGGCGTGGAGTAGATGGCGTAGGGTCTAGTGGCCTGCCAGGCTCTAGGATACATGCCGTCGACGCCATCTCACACTGCCGTGTAAATACGTATTGTCGCGAGTGACAGGAAGCCGTTTCGTTTTCATCGGTAGGGCAGCATGCGTGTTGTTCTGTCCGGAACATGCTGTCATACAACATGGACGGCTTGTTGCACAATTGGGGAGGCGCCCTGCAAGATGACTTGAAAAAGACGTCCTCCGATCCGTCGAATGTGACAACCAGCATGGACGACCCCCGGCTGTGAAGATTCCCCGCAGCTAGGCTGGCTCGACGACTCCAGTCTGTCCCGTCTTTATGTAAGTCTCTGCTAAGCAGAGCCAGCCAAGGGGAAAGAACACTAGGGACAATAAAGTCGAGAAAAGTGTATCTTGGTCCCTTGGGGCGTGGGGAAGAGAGGCGGAAGAGTTGCACAAGAGGAAAAGAGGGGATTGTCGGGCAACAACAGGATCCAGCTCCACCGAACCGATCCGATGGAGACGACTCCAATTGAGAAGACATTCTCCGTACAGAGCCCGGGAAATAACATCGTGCAAACGATACCAAGTACCTGTCGTCTGCCGTGATTAGTCTGCCGCCGGAGAGAGGCACGCAACGTAGACAAACTAGCCAAACTCATTAGCTGTGACCGTAGGGGCGCCAGCGCCCGTCTTCCATCTTCCAGGCACAAGGTCGAGTCAACGCCCACAACATGCAGCTGTCTTCCACGGTCCCTCGACAGAAGCTGCCTAGCTCTACATCGTGCGAGGCATTGCGCATGCGCCAAACTCTGCACATAAGCGTGCTTGGACGTGATATACCCATCTGGGAAGGCGTCTGCCTGCAATGCGACGCTGTTGTGCGGGCTTTCTGCTCGATTGATGTGGTCGTGGACTTGAGCGGCTATGTGAGGGTAAGGGGCAAGCAGCTGAGCCAGGACAAGGGTGCTGCATGAAGCGCTATTGACAGAGGGGGATTGTCGTATACAGTACACTGGCATACGACACACGTTCGGTCGCGACGATCTTGCCTTGCTGACAGACGGTCGGTTTGTGGCCGTCGTACAAATGTGCTGTCATACAGTGGGCATCGACGGCTGACGGGCTAGCCTTCCGTGCGGGCCGACGTTCAGGGTCCTTTGTGCAACCCCAACGGCGAGACCATCAACATCGGACGACAAGACAGCATTGGACGGCATTGGACGGCATTCAACACAAGACAGACGCAAGAGGAGAGACGCCCGAGAGTACAACCAAAGCAAGTGACATTTCCCAATGAATAAACTGCAAACACCATTCTAGTCTACAGGCAATAGAACAAGACACAATGACAAAATGATAAAACATGAATGATGAAAGAATGCAGGCACATGCAAATGCAATAGCCCTCATGCCACCTGGACAAACGTCCGCTTGCGCTTGCCCGCGCCCGCGCCCGTGGCCGCCGCCTCCGCCGCGTCCCACGTGTCGTCCACATACGTCTTGACGCTCTGGTCCGCCACCGCCATCCCCACCACCCGCAGCGCCGCCATGTTGTGGCCCATCTGGTCCTTTTGCTGCTGCAGCGCCCCCCGCAGGCTGGCCCGCAGCGTGTCGAGCATGGCCCGCATCGTGCGGCTGGCCACAATCTGGCGGTGGTGCGTCTTGAGCATGAAGAAGAGCACGCGGCAGGTCAGGGGCATGTTGAGGCCCTGGCGCGCGAACCGCTCCAGAAACGTAAAGAGGGCGGGCACCTGCGCAAACGGCAGCACCAGCAGCGCGTCGTGCAGCGCGGCCGCGGGGATCTTGGCGAGCACGCCGAGGACGTACTGCTCGGCGGAGAGGTTGCCTTGGGCGACAAACACAATGTGGCGCTGCGGCGGCGCGATCGATCCTCCGCCGCCTTCGCCAGCGAGGGCCCGCGCCTTGGCCTCGTCCCACTCCTTGAGCAGATTCAGGTCCGCGAGGCCCAGCTCCAGCGCCTCGGCAATGCGCTCGCCCGCCATCAGCGTCTCCACCGTCTGCTTGGACGCCGCGCCCACCTGCTGGCCCAGCTGGCCCTCGCGGTCGCGCTCTTCCGGATCCTCGTCCGCGTCCGCGTCCGCGCGGTCCAGCGACGTCGCCAGCGTGCTCTCGTACAGCTGCTCGATCTCGCGCTCCCGCTCCTCCTCCAGGAAAATCTGCTCGTCCGTCTCGTCCCAGACGCGGATGCTCTTGTCGTGGCCGGCCGTCACCACAAAGCGGCCGCCGTGGCTCACGGCCAGCGCCCAGATCTCGCCAAAGTGCCCGTCGAGCCGCTGGATCTGCTCAAACTTGTCGCCGTCCCAGTACTTGACCGCGCGGTCCTTGCCGCAGCTGAAAAAGTGGTGGCCGTTGCCGTCCTGGTTGTGCGGCACAAACGCCACCTGCAGGATGCTGTCCTGGTGCGCAAACAGGGAGCGGTGGCAGTCGCCGAAATCCAGGCCCCAGATCTTGACGTTCTTGTCGGCCGAGCTCGTCACAATCAGCTTGCTGTCGTACGAAATGTCCATGCTCAGCACGGGCAGCTTGTGCCCGTACAGGTTGAGGTACAGCTTCAGCGAGTCCACGAAGAACACCTTGACCGTGTTGTCCAGCAGCGCCACCGCCAGCAGCTTGGCGTCGGGCGAGAACCGCACGCTCAGCACGTCGTCCGTCAGCTTGAGCAGCCGCGTCTGCACCAGCTTGAGCCGGGGCGTCGTGCGCGTCGTGCCCAGCACCGGCTCCTGCACGATGCGAAAGTCCCAAAACTTGACCGTCTTGTCGGCGCTGCCCGTCACCACCGACCGCCCGTCCGGGTGCACCTGCAGCGACCAGATGGCCGCGCCGTTGTCGTGGGCGTTCTCGACCGTCTCCAGGAGGGCCGCCGACGCCACGTCAAAGAGCTCGAGCGCGCCGGTCTTGGTGCCCACCAGCACCACCTTGTCGCCCGGCAAAAACGCGCAGCACAGCGCGTAGCCGCACTCGAATGTGCGGATGCACGACTGCGTCCGCACGTTCCAGATCTTGAGGCTGCCGTTGGCCGCCGTGGCCAGCATCTTGTCGTCCGAGCTCAGGGAAATAGAGCGCACGTCGGTGCGGTGGCCCGGCAGCTCGACCGCCAGCGCGCGGCCGTACTCGGGCGGCTCCTCCTTGTCCTTCTTGGCCTGCTTGGAAACGCGGTCCTTTTTCGTGGACACGGTGTACAGCTCCAGCAGGTTGTTGGTCGTGCCCACCAGCATCTGCAGGTCCTTTTTGCTGCCGCCGCCCGGCGCGGCCCCGGCCGCCCAGTCCACCGATCGCACTTTGCCGCCCGTCCGCACAATCACGTGCTGCACAAAGATCTCGCCCACGTCTGCCTGGGACGTGTCGATGAGGCTCTCGTCGTCTTCCGCATCCACGTTTGTGTCGGCGCCCTTCTCCGCCTTGCCCTGCCGCTCCCGCCGCCGCCGCCGCTTGCGAGCCAGCGCGCGCTTAATCTCCGCGTCCGACCGTATTCGCCAGATCTCGACAGCCTTCTCGACGCCGTGCACGGCGAAAAAGTCGTGCCGTGGGTGGAACAGGATCTCGACCGTGCGGTCCTTGCCGTGCCGGTGCAGCGTGCCGCGGGATGTGAGGAAGGTTTGAGGGGACGCGGGTTCTGCGTCGGTTGTGCTTTTTGTCGTCGTCGTCGTCGTCGTCGTCGTCGTCGCCAGAGCATCGACTTGTCGTGTCGATGCAGCCAGGCCGGCGGCATCGAGTGTCCACACCTGCAGCTCGCCGTCGTTGCCCGCTGTGACGCACCCCGACAGATCGGCCGACACGCCCAGCGCCCAGCATTCGCCGTTGGTCTGCGCAACGTGTGTCTCGATGCAGTGGCGCGACGACAGGTCCCAGAGTTTGATGAGCGAGTCCTTGGAGGTCGTAATTAAAAAGCCGTCGCCAGCCGGTGTGTCGGCAACGACGTCGGCGCCTTCGTCTTCGCCTTCGTCCTCGCCGTCACCACCCACAGGAAGCGACGGCTCGGCAAACGCCAGCCCTGTAATCTGGTCCTTGTGCCCGCGCAGCTTGTACAGCCCCGTCTCTGCCACCAGGTCCCACACAATCACGTCCGTGTCCTTGGAGCCGCTCGCCAGCCGCACGCCCGCGCCGTCAAAGGCCAGGTGCGTCACGGCCGACCGGTGGCCGTTGAAGCTCACCATGACCGTAGCCATGCGCCGGTCCCACAGCCGCACGCTGCCGTCCTCGTAGCCGACGGCGACCACATCGCGGTCGGCGCGGCTGGCGGCCAGGGCGGTGACCTGCGACGTGTTCTTGTCGTCGTGCCAGCGGCTCAGGAGCTCGCCCTTTTTCATGTCCCAGACCAAAACGTCCTCGTTGGCGGTGACAATGGCATGGCCGCTGCCGGTGGTCGTGGAGGCTGCGGAGGTCGAAGCGAAGGAGGTCGAGGAATGGCCGGCCCAGAGAAGGTTGGAGGTGCCCGAGGCGACGACGCCAAAGGACCGAGCCGGCTCGAATTTTCTGCACGAAGAGCGCGACGTTAGCAAGCAAGAAACAGCAAGCACGCTGGCATACCACGGGATACATACAAATATGACTTGACCATGGTGGCAGTTCAATGGCTCGCAGTCTGTCGTGAAGGCTGGGGGAGAAATACTACCTGCACGTTTTCGTACGTTTTCTGCTTTGTTTGCGCCTTCTCTGCCCGTCAACTTTTTTTGGCCGATAACGATAAGGATTTGTTAGCGGCAAGAAGGAAGCAGAAGGACGAAGCAAAATCGCCCTTTCCGTTTTGGGCTGCTCGCCGTAAAGTGGACCCATCGAGGGGCACACGTGTCACGTGCAGCTACAGGCAACGAGCGTCAGCGATCCAAGCCACCCCAACGCTTTGCCTGGGGCAAGCGCCCCGCCCTCCTCCGCGCCCGCCGTCGCCGCAGTTGACGACGACTGTCTCTTGCCACGAGGCACCATTGGTTTGAATGGTCGACTGAACCTCCTTGCCTACCCTTCGACAAAACACCTCTTTATCTACAGCGACCTGGCTACTGCCGCCCACCGCCAGGATGTTGCTGCTCGACTTCCAGAACGTGCTGATCCAGAATGTGTTGACGGAGCGTTTCTCAGGGTAAGCGGCTGGCGATGCTCTCATAACGTTGACGATGCTTGTCGTCGTGATGCGTCCTCTCGTGCCATTGACGTATGTTACCCGTATTTACTGTCGCTAACACACACACACACACACGCAGTGCTCCCCCCGTCTCCATCGACCAGACCGTCTCCGACTTTGACGGCGTCCTCTTCCACATCTCCACGCCCGAGTCCAAGACCAAGATCCAGATTTCGATCCTGCTGCGCTGCTACGACGACCTCGTCAAGTACGGCGCCCAGGATGTGCTGCAGCGCGAGTACGGCGACTACATTGTCGCGCCGGAGCCGGGCTTCCAGTTCTCGATTGTCGTCGACCTCGAGCGGCTGCCGGCCGAGCCCGAGGCGCGCGAGGCGCTCGTCACCAAGATTGCGCTGCTCAAGCGCAACATGATGGCGGCGCCGTTTGAGGCCGCGTTTGCCGAGTACTACCAGCTCAAGGAGGCCGCGTCCAAGTACACGTCGGAGGAGGCGCCGCAGGGCGTGCGCGAGGGCGGCGAGGTCATGGCGATCCACTACCGCGAGGAGGAGGCCATCTACTGCAAGGCGAGCCACGACCGCGTGACCGTCATCTTCTCGACCGTCTTCCGCGAGGAGACGGACCACGTGTTCGGCAAGGTGTTTATCCAGGAGTTTGTCGACGCGCGCCGGCGCGCCATCCAGAACGCGCCGCAGGTGCTGTTCCGCACCGACCCGCCGCTGGAGCTGCAGGGCGTGCCGGGCGTCCGGAACACGGGCACGGGCGAGATCGGCTACGTGACGTTTGTGCTGTTCCCGCGCCACCTGACGCCGCAGCGCATGCCCGAGGTCATCTCGCACATCCAGACGTTCCGGGACTACTTCCACTACCACATCAAGGCGTCCAAGGCCTACATCCACTCGCGGATGCGGAGGCGGACGGCCGACTTTTTGCAGGGTGAGTTTTCTGCTCCTCCCATGAAGAGACAAATCGGACAGGTCACAATCATCCATCCGTTGCGCAGCCGTACTAACAATGCCAGTCCTGCGGAGAGCCCGGCCGGACAGCGAGGAGAAGGAGCGCAAGACGGCCAGTGGCCGTACATTCAAAGCGCAGTAGGCGGGACCAGCAGCACGGAGAGATGCAAGACACGACGGAAGAGACGGAGCGAGTATTCTGCGGCATGCTTGCTCACAATCGAGTGCTTTACGCTTTATACTTTGTCTATGTGCTTTGCGGAGTTGTTATGGAGGCGGCGCGGCCGTCGTTCCCACGAGCGGCCGTCAACGTCTACAAAAATAAAATGCACACTAGCTTTCAACATGTTTATTCGTTCGATTGTTACGTATGATGACGGCGTTCTTTTTGGCGGCCGCCATCGTGTCCAGGCACTCCTTAGGTGATTATGCAATTAATCAAATGTATATTCACGTAAACGATGTACGGGGTACGATGACTCCATGGCTCAATTGCTCAATTGCGCTTCAAAATAAAGCTCTCTATCAATACGAATAACAGCTCGGAGTCGTTTACTTGCAGTAGCACAACAGCATCGTGCGGCCTGTCAAATAAAGTCGGTGGCGGGTCCGAGGGGGAAGCACAAGCTTTGGTGCCCGCCGACTTATCGCTCTTTTAGTGCCATTTTGGCATTTTACAGCGGTCTAAAAGGCACGCCGCAGCGATAAGCGCCGATAGTGGTCGCTTTTTTCGACACTTTTTTGACGGCCGAAAAAGGCGAGACGAAAACAGAACGAAAAGGCCTCCGCAGGCTCGACAACTCCAGGACCCCGACTTTCGCACGGTCTTTGTCAACGGACGCTCCACCGCAGGCGAAAGACAAGGAGTACGCAAGCAGTGGACTGATCGCATAATACTCGGCATCGTCCAGCTTGTTGATATAACCTCTTTCGTCTTCTTTCCTCCGCCTCTCCTCCTCGCTTCCTCTCCTCCTCCTCTACTCCCTCACAGCCATGCGGTGGCCAAGCTGGTCACGGCGGGACGACAGCAAAGATGCCGAGCCAATACCCCCGCCAAAACCCGCGCCGCCCTCGTCCTCCTTTCCCGCCAACCTCTCGCTGACCAGCTTCACCTCCTGGACCGATTCCCTCAACAAGACCGACTGGCAGCACTACCGCGACCCGCAGGTCTGGCTGCCGCCGGCCCTCGCCGTGGCCGCGGCCCTGGGCTTCTCGGCCTTCTACCGCTCGTACCTGCGGCGCATCCCCAGCACCAACCACATCCGGCCCAATTTCTTCCGCAAGCGCAGCCTGCTCGGCAAGGTGACGAGCGTCGGCGACGGCGACAACTTCCACCTGTTCCACACCCCAGGCGGGCGGCTGGCCGGGTGGGGGTGGCTGCGCAAGGTGCCGGCGTACCGGAAAGACCTGAAGGGCAAGACGGTACGTATGGTGTTGTGTGTGTTGTGTTGCCATTCGTTTGTGGTTTTGTCTATTTTTGTTTGCTTGGTGTGCGCATCTGCATTTTGCCTATATGGTGATTGGCGATCGGTGCTCTGAGTTTGGTGTTCGATGATCGGAACAGGAACAAGTGTACCTGGTTGAAGAAGAGGACAAAAATGGAAACAAGATCACGCAAGATCCATAAACGACCCACGAATGTTGCTGTCCAGGGTCACCAAACGGGGAGCAGCAAGAAAATCCACAAACACAGCCAACGACAAGAAGATCACGATAAAACAAAACGGCCGGCTAAATTGGAACCAGAGTTGACGCCCGTCCACCCAGTTTTTTGTGTGCTTTTATGTTTTATTTTTATTTTTATCTTATTTTACTTTTGCCTTGCTTAGACTACACCGTCCCAGTCGCTGACATCTTAGATCCCCGTTCGCATTGCTGGCGTCGATGCCCCCGAGGGCGCCCACTTTGGCCGTCCCGCCCAGCCCTACTCCGGCGAGGCCCTCGACTTTCTGACCCAGTACCTGCTCGGCCGCCGCGTGCGCGCCTACTTGTACCGGCGCGACCAGTACGACCGCGTCGTCGCCCGCGTCGTCGTCCGCCGCTTCTTCTTCTTCAAGCGCGACGTCGGCATCGAGATGCTCAAGCGCGGGCTGGCCACCTGCTACGAGGCCAAGTCGGGCGCCGAGTTTGGCGGCCGCGAGGCCCAGTACCGCGTGGCCGAGGCCAAGGCCAAGGCGCGCAAGCGGGGGCTGTGGTCGGGCGGGCTAGGCCGCAACGGCGTGGCGACGGCCAGCGGGGAGATTGAGACGCCGCGGGAGTACAAGACCCGGATGGCGGCGCTGGATGCAGAGAAGGAGTCGGCCGCGGCGACAGGAGGAGGCGCGGCCCAGGCTGCAACGACGACCACGTCGTCGAATGGGAAGACGGCCGCGTCGTCTACGTCCACCTCGGCGCACACTGTCCCCAAAGTGACGGCGAGTACCGCACCCAGTGCGGGCAGCACACCGTCGGCTGCCGCGACGGCAGCAGCAGCCCATGCCAAGACGACGGCCGCACACACTGCATCATCCACACACAGTACGCCCACACAAGCAGCATCATCACCTGCCAACAAGTCGTCGGCAGGAGGCGGCGGCAACAAGTCGTCAGGTGGCTGGGGCAAGGGGCCCTTGCCTGGCAAAAAGTGAAGCGAGGTGAAGCGAGATGAAGACTCAAAAAAGGGGAGATGAACCACCAACTAGACGAGGACCACGACCCGGACGATGAAATGATTCTCTTCATTTTCAACCGTCATATTCACGCAAGTTTACGTTACGTTTTTTACGCTATTCATTGATGTCGTTTTATGTTTTATGTCTTTTCTTGTCTCATTTTTTTGCAAGCTCTTGCATGCCTTGTCATTATTTCTTTTTTCGCCTTCCTTTTCTTCCCCTTCTTCCTCTCCTTTACTTGTGTTATATCATGGGAGCATTTGTCACAAGACATGCGACAGACGAGGAAACGGATGTTATGAGTTCTACAACTCGGGACAGACAGCACCAAAACTATAGAGCAAGGGACACTCGATACAGAAGACCTGTACACTCTACGACGCCTTTGATACCCTCTCCTGTTCCCTCTCCCTCTCGCCACTACCCTATTTACCCTTTTTCTGCGTCGTTTTGGATCGATGCCGTGTTTCCCACACTACACCTACGAAACATTTGCTTATGGCAGCATCACTTTAGACGTACAAGACCGAATCTGACCTTTTCTCATCCTTTGCAAACTTTGAAACTTCTAGAAGCAGCAGACACGCCGGCTCCTTCCCTGCCCGTCCCATGTGTCTGACTGGGCATGCTGTCCTCATGATGTGAGTGTGTTGAAGAGCAAGTTGCCGAAACGGCCATGCAGGGAGCAGGACGTCTGTGTCCTGGCACGGCGGAAACGCACGGCATCAGATGAGATGGCATGCATCAATCCATGCCGTCTCGCGTGTCATGGCGTCCATTTTCAAGACATTTCGTGTCATTTCCTGCATGACACTACTTTTGGGGGAAACCGACGACAAAGAACACATACAGGGGCCAGGGACGATGACAACGTGAGATGGAGGTGGATGTGCAGGTGGGCAGATGACGACAAACAGATGACGAGACAAGGAAGGTTGCCGTTCCGGGCATGCAGGGACAGAGAAATGCAATGGAACGAGCGGGAGAAGAAGCCAAGGCGTGGAGAAGAAGACTGGGGAGAAGACCGGGGAGAGGAGAGGACAAGGACGCAGAGACAAACGATATGGAAAATGCCGTGGGTTGTGGGTTGCAATATCGATCGGGGACGTGGTAAAGTGTGGGGAAATGTAAACCAGATGCCAGGGGTTGCCGAAATGCAGTCTCGGACGTCGCAACGCAGGTCCTGTTCGCCATTATTGTCGTAACGAATCATTGTCCGTGTCGTGTTGTTTGTCTCTTCTTCATTGCTATGGCATTTGCGTCTCGGTGTTTTGCGTCGAGCTTTTGAATGAAGTGTGGCTGAACCTTTCCAGTATAATTCCTACCATTTGTTTATTTAAGTTGTAGAATTGGTTTTTGTCAATACGATTTTAATTTTTTTCTATAAATTTATATTAAATAAAATGACGTTCGATCCTCAATATTGTTGATAAAACGGTGTCGCAGAATTACAGAGTTGCAGACGCGGAAACCACCCAAACACGACCATGCCGTTGACGCGCCCCCGAATATCTTCCTTCCTGGATCCCGATGCTGCCCCGTTGATGCGAAGAGATCAGTGCTCGCTGTCAACCTGGTGACGCCTTGCTCTGGGGCCACGTCTGTTTACCTACGACTTTAGGCAGAACACCAGAGAGGATGCGCCCGATGCGATCGAGCGAATGTCTTTTGAAATCGACAAAACACTCCTGGCGTTGTGGAGGTGTGATTGACCCCCCGGACCGGGCGACGGCAAGGTTTGGCTACGACGCAACGACCAACGATGGCGATGGTCTGGAACGGACGGGCTGTGCTTGCGCCATGTGGCGAGGTTTGTAGGGCGACCTGTGTGCCCAAACAACAAAGACAAGAGCAAAAAACAAGCGTAAATTCTCCGGATCCTAAAATGGGTTTCCAGGAACTCGGAAGATGTTCTTTCTGTTGGGGGTGCCCATTTTGGGCCACACTGGTGTATGTCAAACGCGGTGACGCATGGCATGAATTTCAGGAGTGCCCTGGACGGGAAGGGCGACGTACGCCGTCTTTTGTCTTTACACCACACACCATGAGCCTCTCTGTCCTCGACTGTGGTATCTATGTGAGGGATCGACGTCGGATGTTCGTTATGTGGCGCACCGTTGGGAGGGGGCTTTTCATCCTTTACGTTCAACGGCGGCAAGTCTACACGGCTGGTTTTGCCTTGAATGACGACTCGTAAACACGACGCAGACGACGTCACAAACATATGGGCAAGGATGGCCACGTCTGTATTTTCTTACGATTCTTCTATTTTCGCTTTGTTTTCGCTGCCTCATAAGTTGGCCGTTTACAGAGTGTACAACCTGTTTATGAGTTACCAAGTTCGGACTGGCCATGATGGCTTTAGTTGCCAAAAACCTCCGGGTTTCAAAAGAGAGCCAGATTGTCACAAACGGCGGATCGATTGGTTGACGATGCACATGCTAGTTAACTCCTAGATATAAGGCATTGAAAAGAGAGCGCAAGAAGCGGAGCAAGATTCGAACATCAATAATTCGTAACCCAGAACAATACTCAGTACTCTGTACAAAGACCTTCCATCGTCCACGTACTTATCGAAACGGGACAGACGATGATTGTTTTTCCAAAAAAAACGGAGGCCATGGTGAGGCCCTCTGTTTGTTTCTGATTTTCGTTTTTCCTTTTTCGTTTTCCTTTGGATGCGTAGCCCATTCTTGGATCAGTAACCGGTGCGAAATTATGAAAATCTGACGTCAAAGATCTCGTTTTCTCTGCTTGTGCCGGGCGGTGAGGCCAGTATTACGGACGACTGGAATGCGTCTCATAGGACCACAGTCGACCGTCGACAACGACTGGAATTTGGAGACTTGTGCCTCATCAGCGAGATCGATGGACACGGTGGACGATGACGGCAAACGTGCGCAAAACGGTCAACGCACGCTTTGCCGCTTGTGATATGTTGTCGAGTGTGTCAAGCAGCTGAAAACCAGAGTCTTGCTGAACACTACTGGCTCAAAGGGGGTCGTCTCGGCTCACAAAGCACAAGTGAAAGGCCTCGCATTCAACTGGGCACAACCCTGAACCCCTGCAGCTGGCATGCTCAAACTACCACAGAAACCCTGACGCTTGTGCAAAAGAGGCACAAAAATCGATGCATCTCCTCGCAGCATGCATCAGGCCCCTGCATTTTGCTTGTCCGCCCATGTGCAGAGTTTTCTGTGTCACTTTTGCTGTGACAATTCTTCTCATCAATTTCTCTTTTCAAAAAGAAGGCGGCTGGGAAGGCGACGACGCATTGCAACGTACGACGAACAACTGAAAAAAGCAAAAAAAAAAAAAAAAAAAAAAAAAAAAAAAAAAAAAAAAAAAAAAAAAANAAAAAAAAAAAAAAAGACACGGGCGAAGGATGCTCTGCCGGCTCGGCAGGTCTCCAGAAAAGAGGCTGAATTGCTTTGCTGGCAAGCTCTTCTCAGCCTCTCACCATTCTCAAGATTATCTCACCGACATCAATATCCATCTCGTCGACATGCAACATACTCTTTCCCTTCCTCTCTCATTCTTCGATTTTTCTCGCGCAATCTATTTTCTTATCGTGTCCTCTGACTCTCTTATTTAGTTTCGCCGCGCTCGCCTCATCACCCGCCCACTCTAGCAGAGCCCCTGATTTTCCCTGCCTCGGTTTCGACCAGGCCCTTCTCCGACGTGCACAAGCGACGACAACCATCATCTCGACCACCCTCTTCTTTTTGACTTGGCCGGATGGAGAGTCACCGTAGTTGTGTACCGAGCATGTCGTGCGTAGTACACTGCTAACATGTTGCATTTTCTGTCACCTTTTTGATTGTTTCTTTTTTCTCTCCTCGCCTACCGCCATCTCACGATAAGCTGTTGTTTGGTCGACGTGCTGCATGTACCACCCCTGGCCTTGTCGCTCCACCCCTTGGCGTAAAATACTCAGTAGAGCCTCTGTGCTCCGTATTTCGCTGTCTCTTCGGATGACATGCCACCTTTGCGCTCAAACACACGACGCACTGATGCGACTGAGTCGGTTGACAGGGCATCGACAGCGTAGGCGAACGAGACATGCTGCCCAATCGTGCTCTCCCATCTGGTGTCATTCGGCATCTCCCAGTGCTCTGCTAGTGGCACTGTATGAACGTCCTGCGCACAGAGGACTGTGGCACAGCATGCAGCATACCTCGTACCCATCTTCACCTGTGATCGACTTTCTCGGTCGCTCTGGCCTCTGTCGGCGCCACCGACCGTTACCTCCTAGGTATCCAGACACAGTCTTGGTATCTCAAGAAACAGAACATAGCGAATGGTCGTCTTGCCGCCCAACACAAGGATCTGTCCTGTCCCCACGCGCGTTGCCTGTGTATATGCCGCACACGCCTGCGCAACGGTGCACCGCCAGAAGCAGTGCCTGTGTATGACCAGCAATGGCGGGTGGAGCTGTTTGTGCGGCGTTCAACATATCGGGCATCGAAACAATGCCCACTCCCGCCTCTTCCGTTTGCGTCATGAAATGAACTCCAAAACAACCACGCATCCAAAACCCACGGCTGGTGCGCGACAGGAACTCGATTTGACCGACTGCACATCGCGTGAGTATCTTTCACGAGAGCCAGGACAGAAAAGGGTCATGATGATCAAAAACGGAGAGTTTACAGCCCTTGGACAGAACCGTTTTCGTTGCCCGTTTTGCGTTTTGTTGCCCGTCCACAGAATGGCCGCTTCTGATTGGCTGCTGATGCGTGCTGCTTTTCAGGGGACCTGGCTGGTTCGATTGTTCGCTCTTGCCCAAACCCGGTTTAGCGACAGGTACCCGAGTCACAGATGCTGCGCGGTGATTTGCCAGTACCTTTGAAAGCGGGTATGAGAGCTCTGGCTTCCGTCAGGGATGCGCCCATCAGTGACTGCCAAAAATGTACCTTCCGTTTTTAGCTCCCAAAGGTCAATAAGGCAGGAACGCGTTAATGAAAACAAAAGAACCAACACAGAAACGGTCGCTCCTTCCCACAGCCCACTGTTGCCCGCCCAGCCCTGTTGCCCTGGTTCGTCCACCTTCCCACGTCGCGCATCTTTCCTCCAATTTCCGGTTTCCGTGTCACCTGTCTAGGTCTCGCCACCTTGCACGTCTTCCACGTCTTCCTGTTGTCTCTCACTGTCACTGCCTTGTCTCGTTCGGCTGGTGACATACTCATTCGCATCGTGCTTTTTCGCTTTGTTGGCCCTGCCTGTGTTGGACTCGTAAAACAACGTAACTACCACGCAGTCGCCCTTTCCTCCACTGCTTTTATTTCGTTTATTTCGTTCTTTCCCCTCTTTCGCCCCTTCCAGTCCGTATTTCACGTTTTCCTGGTCGCTCCTTCGCGATCCACTCACCATTGGATCTGGTCCTTCCCCCCCGTTGTTTCCTCTTCCGTCTTCCGGCTCTCCAGACTCCACGATAGGAAACAACGACCAGGAAACCTGAGCTTGGACCGCCTGTACCAAAACGCGAGGAACCTTCTTTTGTTCGATGCGACGTATTGCACCTGTTTCCTCGAACTGAATGGCTGGACTGGCTCCGTATCGTTCTTTCCCGCGTTGGCAAAGGTGAACCCACTCCCAAAGCACAACGAACCCACCGAGCTCCACCTTTGTGTGCCCCGGTCGCTGCCTCTCCGTTTCCAAAACGCACCAATTTCCTTTTATCTTCTCGCGCTCGCCCTACCTGCCTTTTCGTACCTTCCCTCTCCTGTCCGCCCTTTTCTCGTCTCCTTCCCAACATCGCCAGTCAATCTCTACAGCTTCTTCTGCTTCACTTTTTTGTTCGTTTCGCTGCTTTCTTTGTTTTCGACAAAACCCCGTCGCTCACTACCATTCGCTTCTTTCTACGACTACTTTCTTCGCCTTTTTTACGAGTACAGTCTTTTTGTGTCATCTTCACCCCCTATTGTTCGACTGCACCGTGCCTCTCCTTTGTTCTGCGCAACGAGCAACCAACCCGTTCCGGTTTCTTCATTTCCGTCTCTAGACCTCCCAATCTCTTCATCTTTCGATTTACAGACGCTGCGATCCGATTGCCTCGATCCTCGGACCCGGCCCACGCCGTTTCGCCTTCCGTCTCCCATTCACTTATTTCGCGACGACGCGTGCGCTTCTCGCTCTTTTCTAGGATTCGCATTTCGACCGTGCTCTCGCTCGTTTCCACGATGTCTCCATAGTGGCCACGACAACCGACACCTCAAATTCCATTCTTCGCTTGATCCCATCGCGACGCGACGCTTGCACGGGATCCCACTCGGCTTCTTGCGGCTCACATCGCCCTCCACCGCAACGACGACCAGAACAAGCCACAAACCATGCGAATATTATTACGGCGGCGCCGTGGCGCCGCCCATGGCGACGACCATTTGGCACGGCGCTCCTCCTCCTCCTCCTCCTCCACCACCACCTCCTCACTCTCTCGCACGATAACGTCTCTCCTCGCTCTCTCCGCAATGGCCTCCACATCCCACGGCTTTAACTTCACACCCGCGGCGTCGTCCAACATCGACCTCAGCAGCCTCGGCAGCATTGGCATTGCCGGCGATTTTGCCGGCATCTCCCTCTTCGAGTTCGAGGAGCAGAGCCAGACTTCTGCCGCCAGCAGTAGCGAGGGCCTCCTGGCCCGTTTGCCCAACAGCGCCTTTGCTACCGTCTTGACCACCGACGCGTCCATCATGTCCATGTGCTCGCTCGTGCAGCAAGACGGCACCGGCGCCGGCGTCGTGCTGGGCGGCAACTTTACGAGCCTCGGCGACCAGCAGGCTACCGCCATTGCTCTTTTCAACCCCAACACCTCCGCCGTCACACCGCTCACGGGTCTCCAGGGCCAGGTCTACACCGTCTTTTGCGACGAGGCTGACAATTCTGTCTTTGTTGGCGGCAACTTTATCGGCCCCAACTCCACCAACGCCATTCGCTGGTCCAAGGAGAGCGGCTGGACGCCGCTGCCGTTTGCTGGCTTTAACGGACCGGTGAAGTCCATCACCAGGGCGTCCAACGGCCACATTATTTTCGGTGGCAGCTTCACGGGCCTGGGCAACGCCAGCACCCCGACCCGGCAAGACGAGCAGATTGTCAACATTGCCTCGGCCAACGTGTCCGCCACCAATTCGGCCGCCACCGCTGGCTTCTCTGATCCGTCCAGCATCGTCTGCAAGACGGACGGCTCGGACGGCGCTGGCAACACGTGGCTGCTGCAAGACGATACGCCTGGCAGCTGGGAGGCCCGGTTTTCGTTTGGCTTCCAGCCTAGCAAGCTGCGGCTCTGGAACACGCACCTCGACGGCCGCGGCACCCAGACTTTCCGCTTCACGGCGCTCCCGCTCAACGGCATCATGAACTTTACGTACATTGACCCTGCCACCGGCGCCAACGCCACATGCACCAGCGAGTGCCCGCTCAGCGCCAGCAAAGACGTGGCGTTCCAGGACTTCCACTTTGTCAACAATGTCGGCATGGACGCCTTCCGCATCGACATCTCGGCGTGGTACGGCTCTGGCGGTGGCCTGGACGGCATCGAGCTGTTTGAGAACGACATCTTCGCATACGCAATCAACGACTTTAACGAACCGACTTGTGCCGTATCCGCTTCCGAGGTGTCGTCCGCCTCCACTACAGGACCCTGGACCGTATCACCCTCCTTCCAGAGCAGCTCCGAGTACCTGACTGCGCAGCTCGCGTCGCCCATTTCCTCGTCTTCGGCGTCCGTCGTCTTTTCGCCCGACATTCGCCAATCAGGCAACTACACCGTCAACATGTACACGCCCGGCTGCCTTCAGGACAACACCTGCAGCACGCGTGGCCAGGTCAACATTACCGTCTCTATGGTCGAGGGCGCGGAGCCCACGTCGGTCCAGCTCTTCCAGACCAACAACTATGACAAATATGACCAGATCTACTTTGGCTCTGTGAATGCGCCCACCGGTGCCTTCCGCCCAACCGTCACGCTGACCCCGCTGAGCGGCCAAAAGCTCGACACCATGACCCTGGTTGCCCAGCGCGTCGGCTTCACACTGCTCAACTCCACAGGCGGCCTCAATGGCCTTTTCGAGTACGACCCGACCGCGTCTGCTGTTAACACCAGCGACTTCTCCTCGTCCGCCTTTGACACCCTCGGCGCAACTTTTGCCACCAACTCCGTTGTCAACGCGCTGGCGACCGGCGGCGACGTCACGTACATTGCTGGCAACTTCACGTCGACGGCCGCCAACAACATTATCTCCGTCAACAGCGGCAACAGTTCGTCTGTCCAGACACTGGCCGGAAGCTTGAATGGCGGCGTCTTGTCCATGGTCTTGAACGGCACGAACCTGTTTGTTGGTGGCTCCTTTACCTCGACGGAATCCAATTCGGTGGCCGGCCTGAACCACGTTGCCGTCTTTGACACGGGCAAGAGCACCTGGAACCCGCTGGGGGCCGGTGTGGACGGCCCCGTTGTCGAGGTTGTCGCCATGACGATGAACGTTACGACCACCACGCCCGAGATTGTCATCGCCTTTACCGGCGGCTTCAAGACCATTTTGGGTTACAGCAGCAATGCGGCCGTGTCTGTGGACGGTTTCGCCATCTGGGTGCCGGCGCAGAACAACTGGCTGCAGAACGTCAAGGGCAGCGTCCAGTCCGTCGACGGCACCCTGCTGTCTTCGCTGTTGGATGTGCCCGGCTCCGGTGCGCTCTACGGCGGTTCCCTGTCGTTTGCGCAGGCAGGTACCAACGGCGCTGCTACTCTCACAAATGCTGGTGTTGGCTCCTTTGGCATTGACCTTCTCCCATCACCGACGACCACGGCAGTTGCTTCCGCCACGTCGACTGCTGCTGCGAAAAATGCCCACAAGCGCGACACCCTTGCTGGCAGCTCCGTCTCGGGTGTTGTGACGGGTCTCTTTGACACCAACAACGGCCGCAACAAGACGATCCTCGGTGGCCACTTTTCGGCCAACTCGAGCAGTGGCACCCTGATCCAGAACCTGCTAATCATCGACAACAAGAACAACGGCGTCACGACCGGCCTGGGCTCGAGCATCGACCAGAGCTCTGCGTTTGTCGCGCTGGCCGTGACGGGCGACACGCTCTTTGCCGGCGGCAACGTGACCGGCGCGATCAACGGCGCCTCCGTCAACGCCCTCGTGTCGTACAACATTGCCACCGACAACTTCAACACCCAGCCACCCTCGCTGACTGGTGGCAACGGCACCGTGACGTCGATCCAGGTCCGCCCCAGCGCCAGCGATGTCTATGTCGGCGGCACATTTGCCTCGGCCGGCTCGCTCGGCTGCCCGGGCGTGTGCTACTTCAGCACGTCGGCGGGCCAGTGGAACCGGCCCGGCACCAACCTGGGCACCAGCTCGGTCAACGCCATGGTCTGGACGACGGACTCGACCCTGTTGGCTGGCGGCAGCCTGATTGTCAACAACACCGTGTCGACGGTGCTCGCGCAGTACGACGCCAGCAAGCAGGTCTGGTCGTCCTTCCCGGGCGGCGATGACGGCACCATCCCGGGCCCTGTCGCCCTCCTGGCGCTCGGTGCCAGCGACGGCAGCGAGCTCTGGGTGGCGGGCACGGCCGCCAAGAACGGGTCGCTGTTTCTGATGAAGTACGACGGCAAGAAATGGACGGACGCGTTCGGCGCCAGCGGCACCACATTGGGCGCCGGCACCGACCTGCGCAGCCTGCAGGTGTTTTCGGTCACGTCGAACCACGCCGCTACGGATCTGCTGGACGCTGGCCAAGTGCTGATGCTGACGGGCGCCCTGGTCCTGCCCGGGTCGGGCAAGGCGTCCGCCGCCGTCTTCAACGGCAAGACGTTTGCGCCGTACGCACTGACGACGGCCTCGGTGGCCGGCGGCAACAGCATTGCCAGCATCTTTGTGGAACACAACAACTTCTTCACCGCCAGCAGCCGGGGCCACCTGCCGCTGGTGGCCATTGTGCTCATTGGCCTCGGCATCTCGCTGGTGCTGATGCTCGTGATTGTGGCTGCGGGGCTTCTGCTGGACCGCATCCGCAAGAAGCGCCAGGGGTACGTGCCGGCACCGTCCAACTATGGGGGCTTGTCGCGCATTCCGCCACAAGAACTGCTCGAGTCCCTGGGACGGCCACGTCCGACGGCACCGCAGGTGTAACCGGCGGGGCTGGGCACAAGCAAACACGCAACGAAGATTTTGTTTTTAGTTTCCACAATCAGCATTTCGGCATCCGCGGCAACCGCCCCGCACTCGATTCGGCATCGACAGCATTCGGTTTCATTTACCAAAAAAAGGGTCAAAAGAGGGGCATTTACAAGGGCATCTTGGCTTGGCGTTTATTTTTTTTATTTTCTGTTTTCTCTTCACTTATACCTTATTTTCCGTTGTTGACTTTTATTCTATCTCCTCCGCCCTGGCGTGGGCGCGAGACAGTTGGCGTTTTGATACTTCCCCATGGACCCCCGGGGCGGTACAACCCTTGGACGCGACGCACGCCACGATGGACACATCCACGACACAGCACAACACACACGACCGCTCATCATTGCAGTATTTTCTTTTCTTTTCTGTCAGTTCGTCCACCTCTTCGTGGCTTTCCTCTCGATCTATCCTTTGCAGACACCTGCCGTAGACTTCGACGATCTTTACACTCTTGTTTTTCCTTTTTGTCTTTCATGTACTGTAGGCCATGTTTTACTGTCTTTTTATTCTTGAGATACCTCTTAATGTGTTACTACCATCAAACCAGCCCGTCTTCATTGCCTGCCTGTACGTCGTAAACGTGATATACATGTGCGTCGACGCCCCCCCCCCCCCCCCCCGACAACGAGCGGCTCTCGTCCAGTTGTGCTACGCCATGCAGTGCTCCTGTCTTCTTTCCGTCTCATTTTTCTTCCAGCTGTCTCACTTGCGCTCGTTGGCTGCCGAATCCCCGTCCGACTAGCCTTCTTTCAGCCCTATTCTGAGCACAAGCTGCAAGCCGCAACACACACATTCGGACGACGACGTCCTTATATTGGTCGACGATGGCGTTCTATTCGCCGCATTTGTTTCATTCGTCTCTGTGCTTCTCCCTTTTTTTCTCTCTTTTGGGGTTGATCATCGTCAGCCCGTCACTGGCGATCTCCCAGCTGTGCCAAGTCGGAGCGGCGATTGGCTGAATGGGGGGGATGGGCTGGAGCCAAGATATGTGTGGCTTACACCCCCATTTCAGCCCTTCAGCTCGAGCTAGGAAGGTGCGATGCGGCCCCCGTGGAGAATCCCGCTCGACAGTTGGTCCCTTCCTCAAAGGTCGCGTTCGCTCCTTCCATGTGTTGGTTTCCCTTTCGGCGATCGCTCTTTCTTCTTCTCTGCGCCGTATAAAAGTAAACCACGTTTGCCATGCCCAGTCGCTCTTTCCTGTCCTTGGAAATGTCGAACCAAGGCGAAATACCCCGTAATTTCATTTCTCCATTTCTTTTTTTTGTCTTGTGACTCTCTCCGTTCTCCTCGTCCTAGACAAACATGGCATCGGCTGCGCCGGCGACGGGGCCGGCGGCCCCCTCTCACAAGCCCAAGACGCTCATCGTCTGTTGCGACGGCACCTGGGTCAACGCCACGGCAAAAGCCAGCCGCAACGCACCGCCGACCAACATTTCGCGCCTCATCCGCGTGCTGCAGCCGACGTCGCACGACGGCGAGGCCCAGATCGCGCTGTACCACGCGGGCGTCGGCAGCAGCGGCGAGTTTGTGGACGCGTCGCTGGGCGGCGCGTTTGGGTTCGGGCTGGACCAGGACATCCGCGACCTGTACCAGTTTGTGTGCCTCAACTACCATGGCGGGGACCGCATTGTGCTGGCCGGCTTCTCGCGGGGCGCGTTCACGGCGCGGTCGGTGGCGGACCTGATTGCGTCCGTGGGCCTGCTGACGGCCGCCGGGGTGGACCGGTTCTACGACATCTTTGACGACTACGAGAACATGGCGGACCCGAAGCGGACGCCGCAGCAGTTCATCTGCCCCGTGGGCACGCTGGAGGCGTTTGCGGGGCAAAAGGGCGAGGCCTGGATCGAGTGGGAGAACCGCCGCAAGACGCAGTACCGGGCGTGGCTCAAGGCCGGCGGGTACACGGTGGACAGCTACCGGAGACCGTCCGAGTCCGGGTCCGAGGCCGAGGCTGAGACCGAGGTCGAGATCCGCATCGCGGCCGTCGCCGTGTGGGACACCGTCGGCGAGCTGGGCATCCCTGCCGTGCCGGTGCTGGGCCTGCACGGCAGCGCGCGCCAGTGGAAGTTTACCAACACGCAAATCTCGGCCAAGGTCGAGAACGCGTTCCAGGCGCTGGCGCTCGACGAGCCGCGCTACGCGTTTCTGCCGTCGCTGTGGGAGCGCCTGCCGGGCAACGACGTCACCAACCTGCAGCAGGTCTGGTTCCCGGGCGCGCACTCCAACGTGGGCGGCGGCTACGCCGACCAGCAGCTGGCGAACCTGACGCTGGCGTGGATGTGCGACCAGCTGTCGGGCGTGGGTCTGGCCTTTGACGAGTCCATGCTGGCCGAGGTGTTTATGGACGGGCTGCGGTACAGCGCCGTGCACCCGTATCCGCAGGTGCCACTCGACCTGGCCTACGGCGGCCTGTCTGGGCTGAGTGGGAAAGGCGCCGCACTCGTGTCGTCGCTGTTCTCCAAGGACAAGCGGCGTGGCGAGTTGTCCAGGACGCAGTCGAGGCGGAGCACCGGCGTTCTCCCGTGGGCGAACGCGGGGGTGATGGGCGACGTGGCGGTGGCGGCGGCCCGGACGGCGGTGCGGGACACGGCCGACTGTCCCAGCAAGTACCTGCACAACCACCCGGCCGCGGTCCCCGCGGACCTCTGGGCGCGCGGCGCACGCTCCTGGGCGCTGGGCCAGAGCCGCAAGCCCACCAGTCTGATCCAGCGCGCGGGCGGCCTGACGGTCCGCAAGCCCGCGCAGTTTGTGCGCGTCGACCCGGCGTCCAACATCGCGCAGCCGGACCAGCCGCTCGTCGGCACCAACGAGCGCATCCATGCCAGCGTGCGCGTGCGGCTGTCGTGCGGCGGCCTGTCCATGGACGACAAGACCACGTGGACGTGCAAAGGCCTGACGGGGCGGAAGCCGCTGCAGGACGACTTTGACGACGGCAGCAGCGACGTGAGCAGCAGCGACGACGGCCGCGATGCGCCGCCGCTGTGGACGCTCAAACGAGTGGACGGCGTGGCGGATGTGGCGGATGTGAGCAATGTGGGCGGCAGCGACGCCGGTGTCGAGGGAGGCGCGTACTATCCCCTCAGCAAGGTGGCCGGCGCCGGCACGTGGCAGTGGGTGTACACGGGCCACCCGGTCCGACCGAAGCAGTTTGACGTCCACAGCAACAACCAGATGTCGACGGCCCCGGTGGCACGCGTTCTGCCCGAGGCGCTGCCCACGGGCCGGTGGGAGCGGCTGCTGCTGGGCCTGACGGTGGGCAAGCCGGACGTGCTGGCGTGGGCGGCGGCCAATCCGTACAAGAATGCGTGAGCCTGTGGTGGCGAGTGCGAAATTGGCTACGACGTATGACATGCATGAGGCATGATGATATACCGTATTATGGTTCTTTATTTGCTTTTGCTATCCGTTCTCCGACGCATGATTTCATATCGTTATTCAATTTGATGCTATTGATGCTTGCCATGCGGACTTTCCAACGCTCTCCCCTCTGCAGCAGCCACCTCCAACCTCGGCCTAGTTGTAGATCTTGGCGGCCAGGCCCGGGATAATCTCCAGCTCCTTCTCCGAGCGCACGTACTTGCCGTCCTTGGTGATGTCGTAGCCGGGCAGCTTGCGCTGCTGCTGGCTCTGGCGCACCTTGACCCACTGCTGCGTCGTCAGGTGCTGGCCGAGCTCCGTAAAGGCGTTGGACTCGTAGCCCAGGCGCTTCAGCAGGGGGCTGTTGGTCAGCGGGTCGAGCACGACCTGGTTGTTGGGGCGGGCAAAGTAGAGCACGCCCAGGCGGTCGATGCCGGCCTGGTCGGCGGGCGGCGCGTGCACGCGGTGGATGCTCGACTTGATGTAGCCGCCGGTCAGGGCGGTCAGGGCGTCGCAGGTGTTGATGGTGATGGTGCCGTCCTGGGCGCGGACCCACTTCCACTGGCCCTCGGCGTTGAGGATCTGGAGGGCGGCGACGGGCTGGCGGAAGAGCAGGGTGATGGAGCCCAGGTCGGTGTGGCCCGGCGTGTACAGCTCGCCGACCTTCTCGTTGTCCTCGGCGCTGCGGGCCGCGTAGTGCATGTAGCGCAGGTGGTCCTCGCCGGCGACGTCGTACTGGTGGTCGCGCGCCAGCTGCTGCTCGTCGGGCAGCTCGAGCAGGATGGCAAACAGCACCAGCAGCTTCGCGACGACCTCGTCGTGGCACTTGCGCGAGAAGGCCTCGATGGCCTGGATGTGCTGCTGCAGGACGGCCGGCTGCTGGCGCGCGTGGAACCCGTCAAACTTGGGAATGTTGTACACCTGCACGTTGTCGCGGATCCCGTTGCCGAGGATGCGGTGGCCGGCCGGGCGGTAGCCGTTGTACTCGCCGCGGGCCAGGTCGTCGGCGTTGTGGAACTGCAGCTTCTCCTCGAGCGGCAGCGCGTAGAACTCGCGGCCCAGCGCAAACTGCTCGTCAATCTCGTCCTGGGTGATGTTGAAGTTCTTGACGTAGAAGAAGCCGACGTGGTGCACGGCGTGCTCGAGCTGCTTGACGAGCTCCTGCTTGCCGCCGGGCTGGTCAAACAGGCTGAGGTCGAGCGTGACGAGCTCGGCCCAGTCGACTGGCAAGTTAAAGTTAGTCGGGGGTGGACATAAACGGCTGAGGACAGTGCAGAGTTCGACTTACGGTTCGCCTTGGTCGGCGGGACCTGCGCGTAGCGTTCCAAAAGGCCAGGCATGATGTGGTGATGGTTGCGGCGGTGATAGTCGTGGTATGTGAAGGGGTGATGTTGGAGAGTGTCAGTCTTGATAATGATAACAGGTTACGTGAATTGACAACTTTCAACTTTTATTATACCGTAGCTCTACTCGTCTTCCACAATTTCCATGTACAGATCACGGCCGCAGCCGTCTCTATTTAAGCACGCCATCGGCTGGCGATCTTGGCTCAACGCGGACACCCAGGTTGAGCGGCCAGAGTCTCCAAGACTAGATGTGCCGAAACAGACATCTCCGGACAATTGGGACACGAAGCGAACTGCGTCGAGAGTGATCCTCCGCTGGGATAGCCTCGTGAGCGTGTTCTGCGACGACGCTTCCCACCTGCTCGCGTAGTTTCCGAAGCGACCGGCGGACGTGATGACAAACACGGCGACTCGACAGCGTCGGCAAGCCACCGTCCGAGTCGACTTGACTACCGTCGACTCGACGAGACGATGGCTTCTGTCGCTGCCAATTTCCTTTCCACTCCACCAGCGAAGGAATGCGGAAACACCGTCCACAGGTTCGACAGAATGCGACCTACAGTGGGAGTCCAGTGTCGTCCTCGTGTAAGTCGGGTACGTCGTGTAAGTCGATAGTGGGGCCGGCCCGTCATCCGCTCATCCGCACTGCAAAACCAGGCAAGAACGACCGGCCCCGCAGCACGCCATCCGCCTCGCGCCATCTCGCGACACATCTCACCATGTCCCGGAGCACAGAACCGTCCGTGGTGGTTCTTGCTGGTGGACAATTGCCGGAGTAGACGAGTCACGTAGGCACGGTGGATGGCCTCGGCGATGATCTGTTGTTGGTATATCCGACGGACGCCTTGCAGTGTCCCGTCTCGGCCGTTTGTGCCGTTCTCTTTTGCCGCGCGATCCTTGCCGCCCTTCTGTTTTTTTGATGCCCCGACCTCACTTCAAGACCCTGTCCAATACGACAAACATCATTCTTAGATCTGCCTTGAACCGCGCTTCGTCCGCGGGTGCTCCGAATCTCAGCATGCTTTCTCTTTGGCATGTATTATGATCGCGTCTCTCCTACCCCCTCCCCCCTCACCGGCTAGCACGCCATCTGACAGGCCCTCTTGTCTCATCAAATGCTGGACAATTCGTCTCGACGTCGGATGTTTTTTTCCTTGACAGTCTCGATGCCGTTTATGTTGTCGCCCCGGTGAGGCCACGCGCTTCCCTATCGGCTCCTAGGAAGCACTAGCCCCGGACCATTTTTGTCTGTTTGTTTGTGTTCCTTATCTCCTGTCCATTCTTGGCTCGTCCCGTTTGCGGTTGTATCCGGTAATTGTCCGTCCTCTTTTGTCGACCGGCCCCGCGTCTTTGCCTTTTCTTTCATGTTTACTTAACCTTCCACCTCGTCTGTTCATGATTGGTACAAAATGGCGAGATCTGTGAACGGAAAGACGATGAAGATGGTTGATACCGTACGATGCACTTGCAGCTGGCTCAGAAATGTCCCGGGATTTTGGCAACCAGGTACTTGGGATGGCATGGGCAGCACAAGGGACACTCACGAGACACATGGCCGTGAGACGAATGTACGTCAGGGGGGCAATAGATGGAGACTCTTGTCATTGAACAAGATCGACTAAACGTAAAACAACGACGCCGTGTAATGCTTTCCTTTACGCTCCTTCACCTGCTTTCCACACCCCATCTGCCGTAGGTTGCCTGCCCTCAACTGCAAGGCGTGATTGACCTCCACTCTTGAGCGAGTGTACAGAGTGCCATTTTGGATACGATTTGTGTTTTCTGTCTCACCGTCGGCTTGCATTTCAACTATTCCAACGTGGAGTCTGCTGTCGTCATCGGGTCCGTCCGGTGTGCTGTCGCCGTCTTTTAAAGTCGACTCGCCCTCCCACTCATCCGATCAACGACACAATTCTCACCTCTGCGTTTCCATCCGCCCGCGACTCCATCATGGCCGACGTCCTCAAGGGATCCAGCAAGCGGCTGACGCCGTGGCAGCTCTTCAAGGAGGTGTTCAACTGGTACCCGGCCGAGTACCCGGCGGCGGAGCGCAAGCTGTTGTTTAAGCTCGACCTCTCCATTCTCGTGTTTGCCTGTCTCTGCTGTACGTCGCCGTCCCTCGTGTGTGTCTCTTGTGTGTGTGTCAATACCTGCGCCTTACTAACTCTCCAGTCTTTGTCAAATTCCTGGGTGAGTGCCACAATCGTCAGAGCGTGCCATGCGACCCGCTGCACAGCAAGTACTCATCTGCCTACCACAGACCAGACCAACATTAGCAATGCCTACGTCAGCGGCCTCCAGGAAGACTTTGGCCTCTACGGCAACCAGCTCAACTACCTGAACGTCACCTACTACACGGCCTACGTCGTCTTCCAGGTGCCGGGCCTCCTGCTCATGTCCCGGCCGCGGCTGGCCCGCTGGCTGCTGCCGACGCTCGAAGTGCTGTGGGGCATCGCGACGTTTGCGACCAGCCGGACCACCAACGTCCAGCAGCTGTATGCCATTCGCTTCTTGATTGGCATGCTCGAGGCGCCCGTGTTTGCGGGGACGCATTTTATTCTTGGTACGTGCCGTGGACGCGTCCCTTCTTTTGTTCCTCCTTGCTCTTCCCGATTTTTCTTTGTGCAAGATGGCCTCTAACCCCCCCCCCCCCCCCCCCCACGGCTCCTGGTACGGCGGCCACGAACTCTTCAAGCGCGCCGGCACGTGGTTCATCTGCAACGCCCTCGGGTCCATGGTCAGCGGCTACCTCCAGGCGGCCGCCTACACCAACCTGTCGGGCGTCGGCGGCATGGCCGGCTGGCGCTGGCTGTTCATCATCGACGGCGTCTTCACGCTCCCCGTCGCGCTCCTGGGCTACGTCGTCTTTCCCGGCGTCCCCGACTCGCCCAGGCCGTTCCACCTGACCGACGCCGACATTGTCCTGGCCAAGCAGCGGCTCACGCGCTTCAAGGTGCGGCGGCCGGGTCCGCTGGGCCTGGACGTGTTTAAGCGGTCGCTGCAGCGGTGGCACATTTGGGTGTTTGTGTTTTGCTACATGTATGTTGGTCCTCCTTTTTGTCCTCGCTTCGCTCGATCCTTTTTGTCCTCGCTTCGCTCGCCTACTTCTTCTTTCTGTCCTCGCTTCGCTCGATCCTTTTTGTCCTCGCTTCGCTCGCTCGCTCGCTCGATCCTTTTTGCCCTCGCATCGCTCGCTCGCTCGCTCGATCCTTTTTGCCCTCGCTTCGCTCGCTCGCTCGCTCGCTCGCTCGCTCGTCGCTAACTCCTCCAGCTGCATGATCTGCTCGTCGTACCCCATCTCCTACATGAACCTCTGGCTCAAGGCCGAGGGCTACTCCGTCGTCCAGGTCAACCGCCTGCCGACCGTCACGTACGCCATCAACATTGTGGCGTCCTGGCTCGGCACCACGCTGGCGGCCATCTACCCGTCCTGGATCCTGTATACGATCGTCGAGGCCTGCTGCGTGTTTTCGACCATCTGCATGATCGTCTGGGACATCCCGACGGGCCTCAAGTTCTTTGCCTGGTACCTGTTTGGCGTCGCCGGCTGCGCCAGCCCCATCCTCTACTCGGCCGTCAACACGATTGTGCGCGACGACTCGGAGGAGCGCGCGCTGATTCTCGGGTCGATGATGACGGTGGGCTACTCGTTCAACATCTGGGTGCCGCTGCTGGTGTTCCCGACGGCCGGGCCCTACGGCGCGCCGCGGTGGCGCAAGGGCTGGCCGTTTATCCTGGTGTTTTTCGTGCTGCTGTGGGCCGGGTTCGTGACGTCGATTGTGCTGCACCGGCGGGACCAGACGCGCAAGGCGGTGCATGCGGGGAGGGGGCCCCCGGCTGACGGGACGGACAGCGAGGGGGAGGAGGGGGAGGAGAGGGTGTCGGAGGCGGTGTCGTCGTCGGACGATGTGGTCGTCGTCAACGCCACGGTGGAGACAAAGGCATAGTGGCAGTACTTGAAAGGAGGGAGAGGATGTTGGTCAATTCAAAATAAACCAAACAAACTAATTGGTATCAACGCTATGTATCAACGCTATGTATCACGCTGTATGACAAGACAGAAACAAACTACATCCACACGGACGCTAACTCGTAAAGGCCTCCTGGTGCAGCCACACTTCAGACGCGCCGGCACCGCCCGCGACGATCCGGCGCTGTTCTGCCGCACAGGCCGCTGCCACGTCGTGGGCCATGGAGGACGGTCCACAGACGGCCACGCCGACGTGGCGGTTGGGTGCGGACGACAGGGCGCGGATCAGGGCCGGCAGGTCGGCCTGGCCACGGCGGCACTGGACGTCGAGCGTGGCGGCGGATGCCGTGGCCGATGCAGTGGCAGAGCCGGCGGCAGACGAGGCCGAGCGGTCCGTTTCTTTTGTCGCTTCCACCTCGACGGGCGCAGCACCTTTCTCGTCACTGCCCGACGCCGCGTCGTCGTGGTCGTGGACACTATCTGGGGTGGTATCGGGCACCGTTTGGGCTGCCTCGCCCGTGGCATGCAGCAGCACCGCGACGCCCGACAGACCGCCGTCGTAGTTTCGGCCAATGGCCCGCAGCGCGTCGACAAACCACGTGCGCAGCGCCGGGTCGCGGCTGGACACGACGGCCAGCAGCGTCTGCGCGCGCGGCGCCCGCTGTTGTTGCCGCTGCTGCTGCCGTCGCACGACCCAGTCTTGGACCAGGCCCAGCGCAAACCCGGCGCCGGCGCCACCGGCCACCACGAGCGTCTCGTCAAAGCCCTCGTCCCAGCGGTGGGGGACGCCGCCGTAGGGGCCCTCGATGAACAACGGGACCGACCGGCCCGGGCGCTGGCGGGCCATGGCGGCGAGCCGGCCGGTCAGGCCGCCACGGGGCCGGACGTAGAAGACGGCGTCGCCGTGGCCCGCGACGGAGCAGATGGTAAAGGGGTGCGTCGTCAGGGCGTGGAGGACGCCGCCGCCCGACACAAAGCGGAGGTACAGGTGCTGGCCGGGCCGCCAGACGAGGGCGGACGCGGACGTGGACGCGTCGGGGGTGGTGACGGCGATCCGGAGGGTGTGCGGCGAGACGGCGTCGAGGGCGGCGGTGCGCAGGCCGTGGGCCAGGTAGGTGCGGGCGACGGCCCAGAGCAGCGAGGCCAGGTAGAGGGCGACGGCGGCGATGATGTAGTCCCAGGAGGTCAGGGTGTAGTCGCAGTGGAGGAAGAGAAAGACGAGAAAGACGAGGACGAGCGCAAAGTGCAGGCCCTTGAAGACCTCGTAGGCGCGGTGCCGGACCAGCGGCAGCGACAGGAACGTCAGGCCCGCCTGCGCCAGGAGCGCGACCACGCCCGTCAGCCACTGGGCGCTGCTGTTCCAGTCGGCCTCGAGGGCGCCCGGCACGGTGGCGTTGTAGACGATGAACGGAAACGTGTGCAGCAGCGCCAGCACAAACATGCCCCAGGCGGCCATGAGGTGGAAGACGACGAGCTTCTCGGGGGCGACGCCGGTCGCGGCCGTCACCAGGTTGGCCTTGCTGCCAAAGACCAGGATGAAGGGCAGGCAGCCCATGGCCAGGTAGCCCGAGCGCGTGGCCAGCGGCGGCGAGTCGCCGTAGTGGGCGTCGGCGCTGTTGGGCCAGTAGTAGGGCTGCGGGCCGAGCGTGCAGCCGGCGAAGAACGCAGCGCCGGCGGCCCCCAGCAGGCAGACGCCGACCGACGGGCTGTTCCACTGCAAGACGGTAAGGCGCGCGGCGTTGGGGTAGGCCAGCGACCGCACGGCGGCGAGGACGCGCAGCCAGGGCCGGCGGCGGCGGACGGACGGCGGCAGGAGGCGGCTGAGCAGGTGGCCCAGGATGAAGACGGCAATGGTGGCCACAAAGAAGTAGACGGCGGCGCGGCCGTAGACGAGGTCGGCAATGTACCAGTTGACCCAGCGGCGGGATTTGTAGGCGCACTGCTCGGCGGTCATGGTGCAGTTTGTTTCGCGCGACGAGTGCAGCTGCACCGGGGAGGTGAGCCACTCGTAGGGCATGTCCATGTCCATGGGGGGGGGGGACGACAAGGTGTGTTGTGATGTGGTGATGTGGTGATGTGGTGATGTGGTGATGTGGTGATGTGGTGATGTGGTGATGTGGTGATGATGATTTGATGTATTCTGGTGACGATGTATTCTGGTCGATGCCAAGATTCTGGCGAGGACGGAGAAAAGGTGAAACAAGACGAACAGACGAACAGACCAACAGACGAACAGACCAACAGACGAGACAATCAGAAAGACAGAACACAGAAGTCGGCAAGAATGCAATGACATGGGAAAGGGGAGATGGTTGTATATAGTATGCGGTGGGTCTTTTATTTTAACTCGTCAATTGTTTATTCCGCCTTCCTTTCCTTCCCCTCCTCGACTCTCCACACAGATTGCGGCCTCTTACGGCAATCGTCTCGAATGCGATCCTGCAACAGACGGCGAATAAGAGAAGCGCAGATGGAGAAAGACGTCTGCAAAGAAGGGCACAAGGGCACAAAAGACTGCACAAATCGCCAAGACAAACACTATCCGCCGTGAAGAGTGAGCAAGTTTGCGCGGCTTTGTGCGGGCCGTGTCCCATGAACCCTGGTCGGCAGTGTACACCGTATTCTGTACTTCTTACGTCGGTTGTCGATGGTTGTCCATATGCAGATCGACGTGAATTATGCGGGAATGTCAGAAATGGGGATCCTGATGACTGCCCAGGCCATAATGGCTTCTTTTTTTTTCTTTTTCGAGTTCAGTCATTTCGGTAAACAAACAGTGGAAGATGCTCCATCCACCTCCCCCATCCCCAGACGCTTTGTACTAAACGACTGGAATGGAGTAAAACATGTCGATCATTTTAGGAGACGGCACGACGCGGCGACATCTCCGACGGTCCACAAAATCCTCCAAGATGTTGTCTGGACCGGACAGTGAAGCCGCACATTGACATAAGTAGGAGCACGACAGACACGACAGGCGCCGAGGACGATATACGTCCATCCTCCATCCTCATCCTTTTGTGTACGTCGTAGTCGTAAGTCGTATTCAGTCGCCAGCACGCATGGCCGTCTTCTCTTACGTCGTATCGACATACTACATCGCACTCCTTAATTCATGGACGTCCGGCAAAATGCGCGACCAATAAATCGTGGCCAATCATGCATGGCCTCGTGCGGTGTTTTGCCCCTTTCCCATTCTGGCCAATCCGGCGTTATACTCCGTTCTCCATACATACTCCATACTCCCTATGCTGTATTTACTTCCCACCCCACTGCCTCTATCTCCGATCACTTTGGACGATCTCTGTTTCTGTCCCACGATGCACAATGCTTTCTTCCGAGCTCCGTCGTGCTCCGTCAGTTCCCATCTTATGTGTCTTTCCATGGCGTGTTCTAGTTTGAAATACGATTATAATGACGGATTGGTAACGAACGGCTTGCGAGTCGAAATGCAAACAACCAGACCTTTTATGTCTTGTTATTCTATACCTAGTTTTACTTCCATCTCTGTTTTGGTGCTTTTGCTAGCCATTGTGGGCGTATCACCTTGCCCCTTTCCTGACACTCGTCCCTCCGTTCACGCCCTGTTGTACGTCTCCAGTGTATCCAAGGGAATGCCCAGCGCCTTGCAGCGGTCTGCATTGCCAAACGGCACCTGGGCGCCGTTCCACTGCAGCAGCCGCACGGTCGGGGCCGCGGCGTCGACGGGCGTCCAGGGCCCCGTGGCCCGCGTCTGCTGGAGGGTTGCCGCGTGGCCGCGCACGGCCAGGTAGTCGGCCGGCGGGTTGGGATCGCCCGTCCGCGCAAACGCCGCCCAGTAGTCGACGACGAGCTGCATAAAGGGCACGTCGAGGCCGTCGCGGTCGGGGTGCCCGGCGCGCGCCTCGGTGGCAAAGACGACCATCTGCTCGCCGGCGTGGCACTTGTAGTACTCGGCGTCCGGGTCGCCGTGGACGCGCGCGGGCGTCGCCGGCGGCACGCACCAGGGCTTGCTGTAGCCGGCGGTCTGGTAGGTGCGGTTGAACTGGAAGGCGTACGTGGCCCGGAACGTGCGGTGCCGCGCGGCCGAGTACGCCTTGGCCAGGTCGTAGCAGGTAAACTCGCCGTCGGTGGCGAGGGCCATGCTGGCGTTGAAGATGCGCGCGGGGTCCGTGGCGTTGGCCGCGACGCCAAACGCAGCGGCGACGGCGGCGTCCGCGGCCGTCTGGGCCGTCGCGCTGGCGGGCAGCCCAAAGTGCGAGCCGACCGGGCCCGCCAGGTACGCCGCGAACGTGGTGGCGTTGCCCGGGTAGTCGTCGACGAGCACGCCCGCCTCGTCGCGGTTGACGCCCGTCATGACGCTGATGTTGCCGGCCAGGCCCGGGTGGCGGCCCGTCCCGTTGACGACGAGCCACGGCTCCGTCAGGTAGACGCCGTCCACGACGGCGCCGTTGACGTTGGTCGTCAGGTTGGTCAGGGCAAAGCCGGACAGCCGCGCGAGGCAGGCAATGGCGGCGGTCGTGTTCGTGGTCGTGTTCGTGTTCGTCGTGGTGTTTGTACTCCCGCAGCCCGCCTCGGCCAGCACCTTGGTCGTCCGCCCCCGGAAACTCGCCGCCGGCGTGTCGTACTGCATCCACGCAAACCGCCCGTTGCGCGGGTAGCCCTGCGGGTCCGACTGCAGAATGGCCCGGTGGAAGAGCCCCCGCGCCTTGGGCGACCCCAGCAGGATGTGCGTCGCCTGCGCGCCCGCCGACTCGCCAAACAGCGTCACCCGCGACGCGTCGCCGCCAAAGTACCGCGCATAGTCGCGCACCCACTCGAGCGCCGCCACCATGTCGCTCAGCGCGTAGTTGCCGCGGTGCACGCCGTCGTCAAACGCCAGGAACCCGGCGTTGCCCACGCGGTAGTTGACCGACACCACGACGACGTCGCCGCGCGCCGCCAGGTTCGTGCCGTCCGTGTTGGGGTTTTTGCCGGACCCGGACGTGAAGCCGCCGCCGTACAGGTACAGCATCACGGGACGGAGGCCCGTTGTGCTGTTTATTGTGCTGTTTGTTGTGTTGCTTGCCACCGCCGCCGTCGTCTCGTCGCCCATCGCCGGGAGGTGCGGCGTCCACACGTTGGCAAACAGGCAGTCTTCGCTGCTGCCGCTGCGCACCTCGCCAATGGGCTGCACGCAGTCGGCGCCCGCCGTGACCGCGAGGACGGGCTCGTCGCGGACGGCAAACGTGGCCTTCTCGGCATATGTGAACCGCGCCGGCGGCTTCGCGTACCGCACGCCCCGGAACTTCCACACGTGCAGGTCGCGGTAGCCCGTCAGCAGCGTGCCGTTGACCGACTGCACGACGCGCCATTCCGCGCCGTTTTCGATGTCTGCCGTCGACGAGTTGGACACGGCCGCCGACTGCGTGCAGAGGATCGGCAGCTGCGCCAGGCAGTCGGTGGTCGTGACGCTGCCCGCCGCGTTGATGGAGCGGCAGGCGTCGGCGTCGGCCGTCTCCTTGGCCACCCAGTACTGCTGGTCGTGGGCCGCGCCACGGTACGCCTGGTAGGCCAAGCTCTGGAGAAAGTCATTCGAGGCGCCGCCCACAGGTGTCTCGCCGAGCAGGGTGCAGCTCGTGGCGGCCGCGCTGAACGGCGACGGCTGGTGCACCAAAATGGCCGCGGAGCCGTTGTTGGCCGCGCCGTCCAGGTTGTTTTGGGACAGAATGGTGAGGCCGCCGCCGGTGAAGAGGCCGAAGGAGGGTTGGATGAGGGGGAGGAGGAGGAAAGGCGCCAAGCCGGCGACACGGAATTTTGCCATGTTGTGTCGATGTCGAGCGATGTCGAGTCGAGGTGTCGTGGCAAAGCAATCGACCCTCGACTGCATGGGCCTGCATTCTATATATTGGAGAGGTGCCTCGACCTCCGACCGGACCTGGATCCGTCATATCTGTATATATCTGTATATATCTGTATATATCTGTATATATCTGTATATATCTGTATATATCTGTATATATCTGTATATATCTGTATATATATATGCACATATATAAACACCGGGAAAATGCATTAGCCGGTGGGCGTGCATGTCATCTCAAAAGGGAAACGGACATTCATGTAAAAGAGGGCCGCTGCGGTTTAAACTGACAATACAATATACCCGAGACGGCACACTACACGCAAACGGCGGAAGTACATCCAAATGTCAGTCTGTGTTTTCCGTCGCCACGCCATTCCAGCCACGTATACACGCATGTGGTACCGTCTATGCTGTATGGGTGTTTTACATAGCTAGGCCATGGCCATGGCCATATGGCCAAAGCGTAGGAGGAAAAGGTACACGATGGAGACAAACGTTTATTAGGTATTGGACGCAGAGTATGGGAGAACAACTTGAAATCAACGCCAGACACCAAAACGAAGATGGAAGACAGCAAGGAAGGAAAACAAAAAGGAGACAAAGAACACAAATCGAAAAAGAATTCTATTACGCATCCACCCAGCCTCGCTTCGCTCGTCTGGCCGCTCGTCTGGCCGCGTCTGGCCGCGTCTGGCCGCGTCTGTCTACTCCGCCCGCGCGCTCTTCGTCTTCTTGCTGCGCAGCTTCATCATGACGACGACCATGAGGTACGACGAGATGCAAAACAGCGCAGTGACGCCGGTGTCGCGCCAGGCATAGTACTTCTCGTTGAGGTTGAACGTCTTGGCGTAGTCGCCGCCGGTCGAGTAGGCGCAGTACTGGCAGGCGGCGGTGGCGTCGGGGTCGGCGACGTAGCCGAAGCTGTACTGCAAGAAGGGGGCCATGTATTCGCCGCAGGTCTGGTTGGCGGGCGGGTCGAAGACGGTGTACTCCTGGTCGGCGCAGCGGACGGGGACGTCGTAGATGACGGTGCCGAGCAGGCCGCCGACGAGGTAGTTGAAGGGGTCGAGGTAGTAGAGCCAGTAGCGCCAAAAGGGCTGCATCTGGGCGTAGGGGACGACGACGCCGCAAAAGGTGATGAGGCCGGCGCCGATGAGCAGCGGGTTGGAGATGGCCGCGAAGTAGTCGTTGGGCGCGTAGGCGGCAATGGCCTGGCCGATGGACGTGTAGAGGAACTCGTAGACTGCAAACAAGTAGAGTCAGAGGTAGATTCAGAGTCAGAAGCAAGCAGAGACGGAGGACAGGGGAGGACAGGAGAGGACAGAAACATACAAATCATCTGCAGGTACATGTGCCCCGAGACGCTGGCCTTGACGGGGAAGCCGGCGGTAAAGTACCAGCAGGCAAAGTAGACGGTGGCGCAGATGACGAGGTAGGGAATCTCCGAGACAATCTGGGCGCCGACAAAGGCCAGCCAGTGGTAGGTCTTGCTCTTCTTTTCGCGCGTCTCAAAGAGGTCGCGGTTGTGCAGGAAAAAGGGCTGCATCTGGTTGACGCAGCCGGGGGCGACAAAGACAAAGTTGAAGATGGCAAAGAGGCGCAGCTGCAGGTCAAAGGCGGTGTTGCCCATCTTCCAAAAGGTGAAGCCGCCAAAGAGGGCCGCAAAGATGTGCAGGTTGATCTTGTTCCAGACGTAGTCGGGCGAGCGCCAGAGCTGCACCATGAGGCGGTGCAGCACCATGCGGAACTGGAACGGGAGGGGCGAGGCGTACTCGAGGTCGTCGCCGGCGGGGGGCCCGTTGTCGGCGGCGGCGCTCGCGAGAGACAGCATCTTCTGGTAGGCGGCGTCGCGCTCGGGGGACGCGTCCCACAGGTCGACCCAGTCGGCGATGGTGCGGCCGCCGGCCTTGCCCTGGATGACCTCGACGATGTGGTCGGCCGGGTTGGTGTCGGGGGGACAGGGGGCGCCGTTGCGGGCAAAGTAGTCGAGGACGAGGTGGGAGCGGTCGCCGGTGGGGCCGAAGTAGGCCATTTTGCCGCCTTTGGCGAGGAGGAGGAGGGAGTCGAAGGCTTCGAAGAGGACGGCGGAGGGTTGGTGGATGGTGCACTGGATAAGAGTGAGCGGAGCGAACGAGAAAAAGAAAGCGAGTGAGCGCAGCGAGCGAGGAAAGAAAGCAAGTGAGCGCAGCGAGCGAGGAAAAAAGAAAAAAAAAAAAGCGAGTGAGCGTAGCGAGCGAGGAAAAAAGAAAGAAAGAAAAAAAGCGAGTGAGCGCAGCGAGCGAGGAAAAAAAAAAACTTACGAGGACGGCCTGGCCGCCGTCGACGAGGCGGCGCAGGAAGCGGATGATGTTGTAGGCGGACTGGCCGTCGAGGCCCGACGTGGGCTCGTCGAGGAAGAGCAGCGTGGGCTTGGCGACGAGCTCGACGCCGAGGGTGACGCGCTTGCGCTGCTCGATGGAGAGGCCGGCGCCGGGGACGCCGATGAGGGCGTCGGCAAAGGGGCGCAGCTCGAGCAGGTCGAGGATGTGGTCGACGTAGGCGAGCTTCTCGCGGCGCGGCGTGGCCTGCGGCTGGCGCAGCAGCGCGGAGAAGGCGAGGGCCTCGCGCACGGTGGCGGTGTCCTCGTGGACGTCCATCTGCTCGCAGTAGCCGGTGAGGCGCTGGAAGGAGATGCCCTGGGGGCGGCCGTCGATGAGGATGGAGCCGGTGATGCGGCCGGCGTCCTTGCGCTGGGCGAGCACGTCGAGCAGCGTGGTCTTGCCGGCGCCGGAGCTGCCCATGAGCGCGACGAGGTGGCCGGGCTGCACGAAGCCGAAGATCTTGTCGAGCAGCTGCAGCTGGGCGCCCTGGTGCTTGACGTAGTAGTCGAGGCCGTGCCAGCAGAACGTCGACTGGCGGGGGCGGATGCGGCCGGGGACTCTGACGATACGGGCGGCGTGAGGGCCGCCCCCGTGGCCCCCTGCTTTTCCTGCTCGCTGACGGGCACGTCCTCCATGTCCGGCACCTTGGCGGCGCTGCGGAAGTGGCGCTTAAAGAGCAGCACGGACGAGCCGCCGCTGCTGCTGCGGAACTCAAAGGCGAGCGCGGTGACGGCAATGAAGAACAGCCAAAAGGCCACGACGACGCCGAAGCCGCGCCAGACGTGGCCCGGCGAGTAGTTGAAGTGCTCGCGGATGTACGTGACGCCGTCGATGAGGCCCGTGGCCGCGTCGCTGCCGGGGACGGTGCAGCCGCGCGTCGCCGTGATGCCCATGTCGTCGTAGCCCGGCCCGTAGGGCACGTAGTTGGGGGCGACGCACGCGAGCGACAGGCCGTCAAACTCGTTGGCGACGAGCGCCTCGAAGGCGTAGGCGCCCGGGTTCAGGTAGAACAGCCAGCGGAACCAGGGGTGCATGCGGTTGTAGGGGATCAGGTAGCCGCCGTAGACGAAGAAGACGGTGCTGAAGAGGCCCATCATCTGCGACGCGAGGCCGAAGCGCGTGCACAGGGCGCCGATGGCGCGGAACAGCTGCAGGAAGCACAGCGTGCAGGCGACGGTGACGGCCCAGAAGGTGAAGAACTTGCCGGCGTCCGTCTGCAGCGCGGCCATGAAGTAGATTATGAGCGAGAACAGCGACACCTGCACGAGCACGACGGGGATGTCGGTGAGCGCGTTGGCGATGCAAAACGCCGTCGGCCGGTAGAAGCCGAAGCGCTTGTGGCGCATCAGGATGGGGCGCCCCGTGAAGGAGGCCGTCGTCTCGGACATGCCCTCGAGCAAGAAGTAGAGCACGGGGAAGAAGAGCACGCCGGGCCGCAGGAACGTCGACAGGCTCGTGTGCGGCATGTTGTAGAAGAGGCTGCCGCAGACGAGCGCCTGCACCGTGGCCGAGAAGATCTTGACGCCCAGCGACAGCCGGTCGCCCAGCATGATCTGGAACTGCCGCACCGTGCAGTGCCGGATCTGGTCCAGCAGGCCCGCCGTGTACACGCTGCGCGGGCCCACCGTCCACACCCGCCGCTCCTGCTTCTCGCCCGCGACCGCCACCTGCAGGTCCGCCACCTCGTCCGCCCGCGTCGCCGGGTCCACCTCGCGCGCCCGCATCTGCTGGCACACGGCGCTCTGCCGGAACGCGGCCTCGAACTCCTGGGGCGTGCTGGGCACGGCGCCCGCGCCCGCGCCCGCGTGCGACGGCGCAATCTGCCGCTCCGTCGCGACCGTCACCGACGTCAGAAAGTCGGCAATGTTGGCGCCCGGCGGACACACAAAGCCGAGGCCCTCAAAGTAGGCGCGCGCCGCCCGGGCCGGCCCGTAGTACAGGACGCAGCCCTCGGCGAGCACCAGCACCTTGTCAAAGGCGTCGTAGATGGCGTTGCCCGCCTGGTACAGCGTCGCGACGACCGTCGTGCGGTCCGTGTCGGCCGCGTGGCGCAGCATCTCGATGAACTCGAGCGCCGTCTTGCTGTCGAGCCCGCGCGTCGGCTGGTCCCACAGCTGCACGGGGCTCTGCGCCGCCAGCACCTCGGCCAGCGACACGCGCTTGCGCTCGCCGCCCGACACGCCGCGGATGAACTCGTTGCCCACCTTGGTGTGCGCCGTGTGCGCGATGCCCAGGCTGCCCAGCACGCGGCTGCGCGCCGCCGCGACGAACGACTGGCTGTCCGTCGGGCTGTCCGTCGTGCCGTCCATCGGCCGCGTGCGCGGCGTCTTGTTCTTGAGCGCAAACGTAAGCGTCTGGTCCACCGACAGCGTCGGGAAGTGGATGTCGTCCTCCGTGTTGAGCGTAATCTGCTGCCGGAACCGCCGCGCCGCCACGTGGTCCATGCTGCCGTAGTAGATGGCCCCGCGGACCGAGCCCGCCCCCGACTCAAACGACGCCCGGTCGTTGGCCAGCACCCGCAGCAGCGACGTGCACCCCGCGCCCGGCCGCCCCAGCACCAGCAGCATCTCGCCCGGCAGCACCTGCCCCGACACCGCGTGCAGAATGTCCCGCTGCGGCGGCTTCGCGCCGCCGATGCTCGCCAGCAGCACGCGCGGGTCGATGCGCGAGAAGAGCGTCTCGCCCAGCACCGCGCCCGACGCCTGCACGCGCACCGTCACGTCCTGGAACGTGAGCGTCAGCCGCTTTCGGCCGGCGTCCGTGGCTGCAGCGCGCTCTGCATCGCGCATGGGCACGTCCGTGTCGCTGTCAAAGATGCCCCCTCCGGGTGAGGCGCCGTCTTTTTCCTTGATCCTGTCGACGGTGGTGTTGGCGTTGTCGTTGGCGTTGTCGTTGGCGTTGTCGTTGACATTGTCGCTGACATTGACGTCGGTGGCACTGCTGCCGCCGCTGGCTGTAGCAGCGTCCATGGTGGTCAGTAGGTCGTGGAGGATATGGGATCGCTGTCGTGATGCTGGTCGTCCAGCAAGGCTGTCTTGCAAGTCGACAGGAAAGCGTAACGACAGCAGCGTGGGAGCCTATATAAGCGGAAGACGAGCAAGAACAAGAGAACATAGGACACCGACGGTCCAGCTCCACTGGCAGCATCTTACGTCGCGTCTGCGTTTCTATATCCATCGTCCCCTGTCTGCTTCGTGTGGATCCATGAGCAAGAATGGCGATGCCCTCTGTGCCTTGTTCTGTTTTCTGACTCGTCCTCCTCTTCGTAGTCTTTGGCCCAAATGTCAGCGTCTCCACTCCCGTCCGTTCCCGAATTTGTATCATGGCTTCGTCTGGGGACGGGGGCTTCGTCTTGCATCGCTCGCTGCTGAGAAACGCCCGTCACGTCCGGAATACGCCTAAAACGACCAAAACGATCAAAAAGAAAGCAAAACCTTGTCATCACGACAAAATTCCATGCAGGGGGGCCCACTTTCGCCGTGTTAGTGATCACATCCGTACTTCCGCCTACTTCCGTACTGCCATATCCGACGTGCCGGTTCAAAAGACGCACGTAAAAAAATAAATAAAAAATAAAAATAAAAGAAAGAGGAAAACAGCAATCCACTCTCTTCTTCATTCTGATGTGTCTTGCAATGTCAGTGCGTGTCAGCCCACTCTCGGCCAAGAGATCGCGGACGAGGGAAAAGGGACAAGAAAAGGGACAAAAAAAAAGGGAAAGACGCCAACCAGCCCCAACCTACTTTGTATGTCGGAAGCTTGAATACCGTGTACTCAGTCGTCCCAATGGCCCGTCTGTCCTGTGTATCTCTGGATCACCATTGCAGTCCTCATACTGCCGGCGTGATGCCCTTCGCTTGGTCATCTCTTGTGGTCGTCTCTTTGCTGAGGTGACGAAACGTCTGCCCGGCTGTCCCAAAGGCGCAATGAAGTGACCGAGCTTCCTGCTCCTTGCCAAGCCATCGGACCAGGGCGCAACTCGACCAGACTTGACGTCGTATCCGATGCCTTGGCCTCCTGCCCTTACTCCGTAGTTCCGGATGTTGGTAACGCACCTTCACACCCCCCCGTGGGCGCCACCTCTTTGTTTGTGCCTGGATCCGGCCTAGGCCACGAGCGGCAATACAAGCCAATCTCCGTCCCAGGAACAATCCGATGCAAACAAACGTGGAAACAGACGTGGAAAAGTGGAAACCTGTGCCAGGCAGTACTTGTGGTAGCCTTTGCGTATAAGTCAACGTGGTGTGCTCGGCGCGGCGAAACAAGCGCCGATTCGGAGTTCTCGCGCAACGTCTCGCAGCTGTGTACGAATGTAGGTGAGTAAACATCCGTATATCAATGGTTCACCCCCCTCCCTAGCCCCTGGTCCCTTACCCTGTGTCAACAGCTTTAGAGCTGTAGCATTGGTTCCTATTACCGGTGCATGATTGGTTGGGATGTGTCGAGCGCAGTCTTTCCGCCATGTCGGCCTTCGTAATCCCGGCCGCCGTTCCACGCGAGGAAAAATGTCTTTCCCAAGGAGATTACCGACACGTGAAAAGTCGGTGTATCAAAGGTCCATAAATGCCAAGACGACAAAGAAGAAGCGAATATAAATTAGATGCTCTCGCTTCGTAGCGACAAACCAGTCCAAGATTATAAGAGTCAAAAAACGTAGAAGAAAAGATGTCCATACGATCGGCAGATCTGTAGACGACGTGTGGAAGATACCCAGAAGATGTCCAAAAATGTCCAGAAATAAACCCCCTGCATTGCGCCATTGTCTCGGCCGATTCGCCCTTGGCCTTGGCCTTGGCCTTGCCCTTGGCCTTGCCCTTGCCCTTGCCCTTGTCCTCCCCCCTCAATAGTTGTACGGCATTGTCGGGTCAATGGACAGGAACGCCTCCATGTTCATCGTGCCAAAATCAAAGTCCCAGCCCAGATCGGCCGCCGTCAGGTCCAGCGGTGGCGCGTCGCCGCTGCCCGTGCCCGGCGCGCCCGGTGTATGCGACGAGCTGCCAGGCGCAGCACCAGCACCAGCACCCCCTCCACTGCCGGGCGGCCCGTGTGGCGACTGCATCGACGCTGTGCCGGCCGTGTTGTGGCCGGGCGGCGCCGACGTGGCCGACGAGTCGTCGAGCCCGCCAAACGGCGTAAAGGGGAAGAGGAGCGGCGGCAGCGCGTTGCTGAGGTTGCTGAGGCTGCTGAGGTCGGTCAGGTGGAGGCTGCTAAAGTGGCCGCCGTGGTGGGTGTTGGTGTTGGTGCCCGTGGCACCACCGCCATTCTGACCGCCGCTGTCGAGTGGTCCTCCGCCGCCCAGCCCTCCGCCTCCCATGCTGGACATGCTGGGCGGAAGCGGGTTCATCACGAGGTGTTGTTGTTGCTGCTGCTGTTGTTGTTGCTGCTGTGGCTGGTACTGGTACTGCTGTAGCTGATGTTGTGGAACAAACGAAGACGGCGGTGCGCCGGCTGTCATACCACTGCTTCCCGCCCCAGCACCCGTATTTGGGGCAGACGTGCCATACAGAGGGCCTGCCGCCGCCGATCCGCTCTCCTGGTCCGTCATGGTCATGTCGTGGTCGCCTGTGCGGCCAGACGATGTCGTAGCTGTAGCCGTAGCCGTAGCCGTGCCTGCATTCGTAGCTCCCGCCGCCGCCGCCCCTGCCGTCGTCGTCGTGCGCTCCATGACCTTGATCGACGGAATCCCCGGCAGCACCGCCCCCGTGCCCACCTGGTCCGCCCGGAAATCAGGGTAGACAACCTGGACCATGCGCTCCAGGTTGCTCGGCAGGTCGACAGGCAGAGGCCGGCCAATCTTGTGCTTGGGCAGCACCAGCTGCAGCGCGCGGATGGCCAGCTGGATCCACGGCAGGTTGGACTCGCGGCCGGCGGCGTCGTGGTGCAGGATTTCAAAGGCCAGCACCTGCGAGGCGCCTTCGATGAAGAACACATGGTAGCGGATGGCCCGGCACATTTCGTTCTTTTCAAACGCGCGGATCAGAAACGCAATCGAGTGCCGCGCCGCGTCCAGGCAGTACTCGCAGGCGGTGTCGAGCCAGCGCGGCGGCGGCGGGTGCGGCTGCCCGGCGCCTTCGCTGTCTTCCCGGAGCATGGTGGCGCGAATCACCAGGAACGGCCGGAACGTGAGGATGAGGGTGTGGTGGTACACTGTGAAAGGTCGCACGCGACAGTCAGTCATGGGTCATCGCCGGCAGAGCCCCTCTTTTTGTCCTCGCTTCACTCTTTTGTCCTCGCTTCGCTCGCCTTCTCTCGCTGCGCTCGTTCACACATCTCAGTCCTAGGGCAGTACTTACACGTCGACACAATCGTCTGGCGCACGCCCACCTCGCCCGACGTCGGGTCGTCAATCACGCCAAAATTAAAGTCGTCGCGCAGCTGCTCGGCAAACGCGCGCAGCTCCCGCCGGATGTCGTTGGCCGCATTCCACAGGGTCAGCAGCGAATCGTGGTGGCGGCGGTAGACGCAGGCGGCGCTCTTGGACATGATGCGGGCCAGCGTCACCACGTTGTGCAGCAGCTTTTCCTCCGTGGGGAACGGCACGTCCATCTCGGACTCGGGGAACGAGCTCGGCCGGCCCAGCGAAAAGCACAGCCACGTCTCCCAAAAAAAGAGGCTCCACACCGTGACGCGCATCTGCCGCGCCGCGTCGGGCGACTGCTTGGCCGCGTGGCCCCGGCCGCTGCCGCCCACCCCCTTGTGCAGCCCCGCCGCGACGGCCTTGCGCACGGCGGTACCCACCAGCAAAAACGACGAGTTGGGGCGGGCGCGCTCGGACTCATAGTGCGACATCATGAGGGAGATCTGGACCGTCGACACATTGACCATTTCGTCGAGGCCGGCCGCCCAGCGCCGCGCCATGCGGTACAGGTACTGGGCGGCCAGCTCTTCTTCGAGCATGGTCGCACCGAGGGCGAGCGCCAAAAGGATAATGACCGTGTCCGGGTTGCCCTCGGTCAGCAGGCAGGTGGCGTCGTAGAAGCCGGCAAGGCGCTGCCGGAAGGTGTCGCGCGTCCAGATGGGCAGCACGAGCCAAAAGGTGGCCAGGTAGCGCTCCAGAAGGCGCTCGGCGAGCGCGCGGTCGATGAACATGGAGGCGCCGTCGGTAAAGGAGCCGTTGCCGCAGAGGTTGAACGAGGACTCGGCGCCGTTGGTCAGGTCGCCAAAGTAGAGGCGCCGGTTGTTGAACAGGTCGAGGCCGGGGCCGAACTCTTCGACTTCGCGCGTGGTTTCGGCCTCGTCGTGGTCGTCGTCCTCGTCCTCGTCGTCGCGGTCGTCGTCCTGGTCGTCCTGCTCGTGTGTGCCGCCGCCATTTGCGCCCTCCACGCCATGCGCGCTGTTGGCCTTTGCAGCCTTTCGCCTTTGCGCCTCGGCCGCGGTCCGGCCTTCGATGCGGTGGTATATGGCGTTCAAGAGGGAAAAGTTGGACGACGGGCCGTAGTAGAGCTGCAAAAAGACCGACGGCGACGCGCGGTGGGTCGCCGCCACGCTGTGGTTCTGCAGGCTGCTGTTGCGGCCGCCCGTGGCCGAGGACGGCGTGTCGGCAGGGCGCGTCGCGGCCCCAGAGGCAGGGCGCCGAGGATGGGACCGAGGGCTACTGTGGTTGATATCGTCGCTGCCGCGGCCGGTGTTCGCACCGGCCCCCAGCAAATCGCTCTTCTTCGTCCGGTTGCGCGCCTTCGTCCGGTACTCGCAGACGACATCCCGAAACTGGCAGCGCTGGCACGGCTCGCCGCCGTCGCAGCGGATCTTGCGCAGGCGGCACTCCTCGCACGCCTTGGAGATGCGCAGCTTGGAGCGGTCCATGTCGGCGAGGTTGGCGAGGTTGGCGAGGCGGGCGTCAGTCGCATCCGCCGCGTGTTGTCGTCGCAGGTCGGCGTCGCGGCCGCTGTCTCGGTCTCTCTGTGGAGGCTTCGGTCGCAATGGCCTCGTGAGGGAGGGAGGGGAGGGAGGCGCAAGTCAGTTCGGTCGGAGTGTTTCTGTGGATGCAGAATCGAACAAAATCGAACAGAATGGAACGTCGGGATTGTCGGCAAGCCCCCTACCGGCCTGCAGTCCAATTGCCGGGAAAGTGCGACCGGCGGAAGGAAGGAGTCGCACAGGTCAATTGAGGCAGGAGTGGAAATTAGAATGGGCCCAGAGGGAAAGAGCGATCAAGCGGCCCGAATCTCACGATCTTCAGGCTCTCCTCCTCGAGGCAAACTCGCTCTGCACGTCACGGCTTAGTCACGGAAGCTGAAAATCTGACCGTTTGGGAGGGATTCGTCCGCCCGTCAGATACGTCCGTCCGTCATCCTTCGAATGGTGTGTTGGCGCAAGGCGAACAGATGGACCAACCGTATAGCGTTAGCTCTTATGAGAGACGAAAAATACGTTTAAAATTAGGAATTTGCCGATGAAAATACAACATGTTCTGTGCCAATGTGACCCTGAATCCTCACTGTAATTACAGCGCCTGCCAGCGCCCGAAAAGGTGCAATCGCGATTATTGCAGTGCGGCAGGCAATGTTCGTCTCGCAAAAGTACGGACAACGCCTTGAACTGAATAAGACGGGACGGTCTGTGGAATTGAGATGCAAGTCGAATAAATCGATGGACAAACGATTCATTTTGTCTTTGCCACTCCCATCTGCGATAAGTCGAAGAAGACAGGAGAAATAAAAACAAAAGTAAATCAACATGAAGACGTTCAGATATCCGCCGATCCATATCCGTGATCGAGATATCCTAAAAAAAAGTGGCTGGATATCAAAAAGAGAAAAAAAAAACACGAATGAGGAGAAAAGTAAGAAACAAACAACACAATCTCTCAGCACCAAAACAAATCCCATCGAAGCTGGTTTCTCCATCGACCAGTCATCTCTATCTCCTTGTCGCCATCTCTGACTTCCCGTGTCTCGTCTCTTATCTTCCCTTTCTTCTTCTTGTTCTTTCTCCACCGGCCAGGCCCCGAGGTGCACAAAGTAGCACAGAATAAACGTGGGTAGGCGTAAGCTCGAGAAAGAAACGGACTAGGTCTATTAGTCTACTTATCCCGCCGCGTCAAGGCTGCTCGGGCTCTGCCGCGCACCTCTTGCCGCATTGTCCTGGCCCACTCCTGTCTGCATTGGCGCACGACGGGGTCGGCCAGTGTAATGAGCGTATAGAAGTCGATGCTTTGCTGGACGCGGTCAAACCCAAATCTGTGACAGTCCAGGCCACAGTCACCTCAACTAGCGGTAAGGCTCTACCACTGGCATCATCCTTGGTCGCTGGTGCGACAAATGGATCTGTGTCCACGACCATTGCCCAGCCGGAGCTGTGGTACCCCATCAATATGGTCAACCGAACGAGACCTACACTCGATGAGTGTACCGACAACCTTTACGCTATTGCAGCACGCATCCCACAGGATTCTGTACTTGCCCGACACATACCGTGGGCTTCATACCGGGTCAAGAAAGCTATAGACGACAAGAAGCCGCGTTCTCAGGCTCCTTTCGTTAAGTCTATCCGCTCTATCCGCAGTAGATCGCAAGGTCTCAAGTCGTCAGATATCGGCGACTACATCGCGGCGCTGGTATACGGCGACGACCTCATCCAGCAGGACTGTCGCCGCATCATTGACGGGTACAATGACCTTCGCTTCAAAATTCCGTAAGCCTACCGTAAGGTCCTGATCTGGCTGAGGCTGAAGTTCAGCAAGCCATCCGGGAAGCCGCCTTAACCGACCGACGCCTTTTCGATGCCAACGGTGATTTCGATGTCACAGTTCCTCTGCTCCGATACATGCACGACATCTCCGTGGGTATCACCTCTCCGATCGAATCCATCTCAGCCGCAGCGGCTTGGCCCATAGACTCCATTCGATCTTGAATTTCAATGTCGCTTTCGCCTGTCGGGTTGCGGTACAGAGCCTCGACGATGCCCGCGGTGATGTAGAATATAAATCGGTAGAAAGTTGGCCCTTGTTCGGGCGCGGGCTCGATCAAGGCAATCAGATTTTGTTCCTGGGGGCTCCGTTCCTGGTTGAACACGTGCCAGACAGCCGTGTGTCGATCCTCAAAGTCACTCTCCGTGACGCCGAACGCCCGTGGTGTTTCCTTCTCCCAGGTCCGCCGATCCCAAAAGAGGCAGCTCGCACGGCCGGGCGGAGCCAGACCCATGGATGCCAAGATGTCCTGCGCCAGCATTGCCATAGTCCACCGGTACTGAAGAATCGACGTCAAATTCCAGTAAAAAATAGAAGTATCCTTGTCAGCGTCCTCTTCGTTTTGAAAGGGCGTGAGGCTGTTGGTGCGGACACATCGGCCCATAAAGCCGTGGAGCAAGGGGCCATAGCCTCCCAATTTGTCTCCCGGACAAGTCTGCTGCCAGAGACGGACCATTGGCTCGATGCGGTTATTCCGAAGACAGTCTAGGAACGGGCCAACAAACATGTCGTTGACGTCGTGGACGTCGGTGCAGCTGTGGCTGCTACTGCGATGAGTGCGACTCCCCGTGTCTCCTGCTGCCGTTGCGTGCGTCGTGCCTTCAAAGTTTGGATTGAGGGGAGACGAGTCGAGATTGGCTTTGTCGGCTACTGAACCCGTGTACGAGTATGTCACGAGCTGATTCCAACGGTCGCGATAGCCCGCCAAGTCGACGGCTGCCATTTTCGAGAACGGCTCCTCCCATTCGTCATCTTGGGCGCCAAACGAGAATGTGTGTTCCGTCCACAGTCGGTGAAAGCTTTGGCACGAGTTCCAAGTCGACGAACAAAACGAATTAAATGTGGCGACTTGTTCCGGCGTCTTAATGACGGGGCGTGCTGGTGTATTTTCCGTTCCGTGGGCCGATGCAGCAAGCGAATCGATTACAGCTCCAGCAAAAACAGATCCGGAAAAACGACCAATGCTCCTAGACTCTGGCCAAGACAATGACACTGCTTTCGGCGTCGCTGCTGTCAAAGTCGTATTGTTCAGCTCGTTGCAAACGCTCCAGCCACCCGACTAACAGGCGGTCGTCAGAAGACAACCGGAAACATATGGCTCCAAAACGCCTCGCAGCACCGTTATCGTCAGGTTGTTCCCATCGCCGCCGCCGTCCAAGGCCATCGTCTCCTTGTCGATCCCAGGGCAGAACACAAGTAGCATGACGGCGCCTCCATCGCGCTTCGCAGCCTTCGTGGCTGCTTTGGTCTCCTTGAAGTCGGGCATCTGTCAGATCGGAATAGTTAGTTACGGTTCATGTGATAAAACCGCAACGGATGCTTCCAGCTGTAACCGGCCGTGACATACGGTCGGATCGGCCGCAAACGGGACCGTAACAGAGCGGTCCGTCACCAATCCAGCAACGTCGAGCCGGGCCCGGGGCGCAAAGGAATTTAGAGAGAGTTGGTTCTCACGAAGGAGCTTGTCGGAAAGGACAACCTTACGGTCCCGGAATGGGTTACCGTGCACATATTCGCCGTTGTTTGCTAGGCATGCTTGAAGGCTCTCAGAGACATTGTCAGTTGAAGCAGAGCTCGATAAATTGTTATTTAAAACGTACCGAAGGTGCCAACCAGATCTGGGACTGTCCCAGGCCATGAAAGAGGTAGTTGAAGGCGAAAAAAATCTGCGACAAACCATCCGTCAATGTCATGAGCGGCCCGCTGCGCCGAGGCGTGTGTCGCTGCGACGATTCTGGTCTTGTGGCGGATTCGGGGTGGCGTCAAGGTTGCAAACATGTTGGTTTGGAGAGTTGGGTCTTGGGCATGACCATCTCTTGATAGAGGGACGAAAAACGCAAGAAAAAGGTACAGAGTAGAAGGATGAATGTGGCCTACTAAATATTTGTCAAAACAAGTTGTGGGTGCTGTGTAACGTGCAGTTACTAAGGGCAACTTGATATCACGGGGCTGGGGTCTGTCACGTGATTGTTTACAAAGTGTATTGTTGGACGACGGTACGTCAGACCTGTTGTCTAGTCTAGCTGTTAGAGGGCTCTCTACTTTGCAAGTTGGCTCAGTGGTAGCGGTCTAGTTCCTATATTTATCCTCACGACAACGAGGAGCATAAGTCTTTTCCACCGATGACCTACTCGGACTTTATTTTGACCTCGTTGATACAGCAATGCCTGCCGGCCTGCCTTCCTCTCATCCGCCGCCTCACGGCGGCATCGCTCTCTTGACGACATCTCCAAGGTTGGCCATGACATAGGGACACAGCCCGTCGTACGTGTCGCCCTGGACGAGGTCAAACGCAGCCGGTGCCGCCACGTCTGGGTGGCCGAGGCGGACCAGCGTGGCCTCGTCCTCGACGTAGAGCGGCCAGCCGAGATCGAGCAGGCCCTTCTGGGGGTCCTTGGCGAACGCGACCCAGGCCGTCTGCATGTAGGCGCTGAGGGCGTCCTGCGCGGGCGTGTTGGGACCGCCAAACGTGTCGGCGGTGCCAAAGACCATGGGGAACTCGCTGCCGTGGTAGGCGCGCATCCAGGGCAGCGGGTTCATGTTGGGGAAGACGCCAAAGTAGCGGTAGCGCCACGTGGGGTGGTGGCCGGCGCCGTAGGCCTGGCGGGCCTTGGCGGCGACGGCGGCCGGGCAGACAAACAGGCCCGACAGGAGGTCGAGCGTCTCCTGGTCGGGCGGCTCGCCGGTCCAGGGGTAGTAGAGCGAGGCCATCTCGTTGTCGACGTTGCCGACGACGGTGGGCAGGCGCGAGTAGAGCCCGCGGACCTGCAGGTCGGTGTAGTTGCCGAAGCTGGTCTCGTTGTCGGACTGCGGCTGGAAGCCGAGGACGCGCCCGCCGTGCTGCCGGCTGTCGTAGCCGTTGAGGACCGCCATGAGGGTGGCGGCGGGGACGCTCTGCATGCACTGGAACTCCGCGTCGTAGTCGTCTGTGTCCGACGCACAGCCCACCTGCGCCGCCACATAGGTAAAGTTGGACACGTCCCGCGGGTCGGCCGTGAACTCGCCCTGGCCCGACATGCAAATGTACCCCTGGACCAGCGGATCGTGCGCCCATGCATACGCGTACTTGTCGACGTGCGAGCCGCCCGCCGAGTTGCCGAACAGCACCATGCGGCGTGGGTCGCCGCCAAAGTGGCCAATGTTGTTGTACACCCACTGGACGGCCATGCGGACGTCCAAAAAGGCCGGGTTGAGGTGCCGGCCGTCGAGCGCGCCGGCCCGGGGGAAGCCAAAGATGTTGAGCCGGTAGTTGATGGACACAACGACCACGTCGTCCGGAAAGCGCGCCACCAGCCGGTTGCCGCGCATATAGGGCGAGGCGCTGCCGCCGGTCATGAGCGCGCCGCCGTGGATCCAAATCAGAACAGCCTTTTTGGTCGGTGGACCGTCGCAGCCGCGGCGTGCCGTCCACACGTCCAGCGTCAGACAGTCTTCCGACGCCTCCAGGTCCTCGGGCATCGCATGGCCTGCCCGTTCCGCATAAAATGTGCGCACGCCATTGTCGTGCTGGAAGCAGTACGAACCAAACTTCGTGGCGTCCACGACGGCGCCATCTGCGAGGGGCCGCTTGGTGACGGGCGGCCGGAACCGGAGAGGCCCCACGGGTGGCTCGGCAAAGGGGATGCCCAGAAACTGCCGGACAGTCGGAGTCTCGTCGGACACGGCGCCCTGGTAGGTGAAGAGGGATGTGCGGACAACAAGCTCGTCGGGGCAGGCTGTTGTGTTGCTGCCGATGTCGGCCAGGATTTGTTGGCCCGCAGGCTTGAATTCGATGTCTGCAGCTCGTCCAAGTTGCCACGACGCGGCGACGGCCAAGAACGTCAAGAATGAGGCCAGTCGTGGCCGTGGCCCTATTCTAGAGGTCATTATGCGGTGTGTTGAAGGAAAGATGCGGAAAAGCGGTGACAGCAATCCCCGGCTCGTGCGTTGCTACGCTGTTGATATATCCGTGGGCATAACGCTTCTCCGCGTTTGTGACTTGCTCGAATCCCCGCACGGAGGACGAACCCCGACTCGGAGGGGTCAGGCTGCCATTGCGGGTGGTTTGTTGACGACGTCGCAGCGGTGATTCAAGAACCGTTAGCCGTTTGGGGCAGGGAACATATACGAACAACACGTACAAATGTACACAGCACAGCATCTGCATGCGGAATTGCATTGTCCGACCGCGGCTCCACTTTCGCTACGATTCGACTTACCGTAGGGAACCCCTGGAGGATCGACCTGGGATAGCAAGACGGGGCCATCATGTGGACGGCAATTAACAGCAGATGTTGGGAACTAGGAGAGAGAAAAGAAGTTGAGGGAATGAATTAAAAGAAAACTGAGTCTCAGCCTGTCCGCCAAGAGCCTGTCCCGTCGTCGACCATCTTTCACCGGAAAAGTCGCCCGGGCTCGAGATGGAATGACATTGAGGTCCCCGAATCCCGCGGCGTCGAGGCCGACTGTTAGTCGTTCCGCTTCCTAGGTGTTTCCAGGCAGCCAGGAAGCCCGACAACGGGCGTGTGACAATTATGGACACTGCTCGGGCGGAACCGCTAAGCCGAGATAAACACATGGCTCTTGAATGCGATTGTTCTTATAGCTTTCAGATAGGCTGGGTTAATAAATCATTTCGAGGCGACTCGACGTGCTTAACTGCTCAACATACCTCAAAACTGCAATCGCTCCCGGTGCTAACATCATAGGGAGATCGAAATCAACAGAGTACCCAAGCCAACGCTTCACAAAGCAGCGGAGGATAAGACCATGAGCGACCTGTGAGTTGCATCGTCTTAGCGGATGAAGACAACAAGACGTAGAGCAAAGTCAAAACAAGGCAAGACGTACAACTAACACGTCACCGGGCTTCGTGAGCTCACTTGCTTCCATGCAGGGATGTTGTATATCATGGATTTTCGAGATGATCCTGTCAAGCCTTTGCGCAACATCTTGCATAGATCTAAAATGTCATGTCAGTTCGGCCGCCGTCTTGAATAACAGCAAAGCATAAAAGAAAAGCATAACATACTCTCCACCTTCACACCCATCACGCCAAATAAACCATTCGTTTTCAATGTCCAAACCACGTTCCTTCCTGGCGAGCCTAATTTCACCAGTCGTTTTGCCTTCGTAGTCTCCATAATCCCACTCTGCAACGTCTTCCGTTTCCGTGACACGCGTATTGGTGCCCTCGGGGAGAAGGATTTTCAAGGTGTCTTTAGCCCTAATTCGCGGACTGATAAAAACGTGCGCAAGGATAGACGGATCAATCAACCTGCCAGCGCCCACAAACGTATTCGCCGTTGTCGAGACTTGTGCGATACCGGCTTCCGTGAGACCAATTTCCGTGATGCCCGTGTAGCGGCCAATCTTGGCCCACGAGGTCTCCCCTGCTTATAAGATAACGGGTCAGATATGTTTCACGGGTACTGGGCAGACGACGTGCATACCATGGCGCATAATAAAAACACGGGGCGTTGAGGCTATTTGGTCGGTCATGAGGTCAGAGTCGAAATGATAGTTATGATGTGTGTGTTTTCATCCCTGGATTTCAAAAGACGAGAGACGGAACATATAAATGTAAACCAAGTGTGACCCGGTACTGACGTGGCGACTTGCTACTGGCTACTATGTGTTGGATAAGAAAGAGTATGAACTGACAAAAGGAGCCGGCAGGTTGGCCATGCTTTCTATTGCTTTGCACCTGAACACAACAAAAAGTAACACAGGCACATGACTGGACAAACGGTTGCCATAATGTGTGATTCAGGGTCTGTGGAAGAGGTCTCGTGAGCGTAAAAAGCGCGTCACAATGACAGTCGACGGCGCTGTATATTCCAAACTGTCTGTTCTATTTTGTCGTCTATTGTCTAAACTGAAACAATGATACTCTACGAAACACAATAACCAGCAATAACCCCCAAGGTTGGCAAATATGACCCAGTAGCAAGTTGAGAAGCATAACCTCTTGGAGCCTTTTGCTAATAGAAGCTCTGACCAGTATAGTCGTTTGCTCATTGTATATTGTGCGATCTGCCTCTCGTTTTCTTTTACCTTCAGTTTTGAATTATGTTTGCATCAATGCATCTACAGAGCGATACCGCTGTGGCGAACCGGGCAAGTCCGACTCGATGGGGAACTGTTGATCTGTTGGTTGTGAGTGGAAGATGTAGACTCAACAGGGTACAGGCTGGAGTTGCCGGATTGGGACAGCAACCAGCATTGGTCGACTGGCTCAGTGGATCTTGAAGCCCCGCTGTTTTCTAGGTGTGTCTCCTGTTCTAGTGCTCCAACTCCGCCAATATCTCTGGCCACTTACGTGACAGCACTGATGGTTGGTGGCGGTCGGCGACTCCAGCGCTGGACTCCGGGGCTCCAGGCCTTAAAGTAGCCGCTATTACCCCGCAAAATGAAAGATACGACAGAACAAGAGGACAAACAGAGCGAAGACACAAGAAAGTCGAAAAACAAAAGAAAATCTACTTATCAAGCCAATCACCCTCACGGCACGGCATTTGTCCTCTTGCGGGAGCATCACCTCGTGCCCAACCTGTCAACGACTGGCAAAGTCGAAAAAAGACGTCTTTCACAATCATCGATCCCGATCTGGTCGCCAGCCTCCGTTTCCCCAGATTCGCCATCATCAACATCATCACCAACTCACCAACATCGCCAACAATCAAAGCACGGTATCGCATCGCGACGGCATGCCACAGTCGATCAAACGCCAATTGAATGACACAGAGGCAGACACACAACCACCACCACCGAAGAAAAAGTGCACTCATGCCACCATGAGCCGCCACGTCAAGTCCCGGTCCGGGTGTCGGGTCTGCAAAGCCAAGCGCCTCAAATGCGACGAGACCATGCCCGCCTGCCGCAACTGCATCAACCGCGGCATTGCCTGTCCGGGCTACCGGCAGGTGCTGCGGTGGTCGACCAAGTACGAGAATCCCGCGCCGAAGCCAACGGGAGGACGAAGGTCCAGCACAGCAGCCGCCGTTCCCGAGTTCTCGGAGCTGGTCACGGCCGCATCGCAGTCCATCAAACCGAGGAGCCCACCACGGGATGCACAGACTGTACCGGCAGAACCTGCAGCACCCGTCGAGTCGGCGACCTCATTGGACGCCTTTGACCCGTTTGAGCCCGCGATCAAGGCGGAGACGGCACCAGCAACACGGCAGCCATTATCACAAGTGCGTCCAGGCCAACCAGTGCCGCGAGCACCGTCACTTCCCGTCTCTTCTTTGTCGCCCGCATCCTCGACGTCCTCCTCTTCCACCACATCCTACGGCCCGCATGGCCCGTCCGTTGTGCCCGTCCTCGCCGAGGACAATGTGACCGGCCCATACTCATTCTCCTACGCCATGCCACCCACATCGTCCGCAGCAGCAACTGCTCCGCCACACTCGTCTTTGATCGAGGCCACCGGCCGTTGGCAGCTCACACAACTGGGCGGTGTGTCTGTTCCCTCGTTTATGGACGAGACTGCTGTACTTCTCGACGATCTAGATCACAATCTTGGCCAGGACCAAGAACAAGACAACGATGAATCCTACACGCTCGAGCTGTGGCAGCCCGACCGTTTCACCCGCACTCCATACCAGCTGCAGAAACTGCCTCACCCCGTCCGCGGCCTCAGCCTGCCCGGCACCTCCCTCGTCGAGCTGTGGTTCTCGTCTGTCTGCGGCATGTGGGCCGCCTACGACTCGCCCGCCAACCCCTTCCGGCGGCTTTGCTCCACGCTGTGGTCCAGCAACGAGGCCGTCTTCTTTTCGCTGCAGACCATGGCCGCGGCGTCTCTCCCGAAACGGCCGCCCAGCGTCAGCGAGATTGTCTTGGTGGCCCCGCAGATGTCGACGCAAGCGCTGATTCACGAGCTGCAGGAGCTGTTTGGGCCCAGCGCCGGCGTCCACCGGGCCGGCATCGACGGCATCGACGCCGTCCCAAGCGCCTGCGACACCAGCAGCAGCACACCGCCGCCCAAAGGCGTCTTCCCGGCCGGCCTGCTGACCTCCCTCTTCTGCATGAGCTCCTCGCTGAGCTGGATCGACGCCCGCCAGCTCGGCATCCAGTACCTGCGCAACGCCCGCTCCGTCATTGACTTGCTCGACCTGCGGGCCGCCCAGCTGTCCGCCGACGACCGCGAGCTGCTCGAGTTCTTCCGCGGCTGCCTGCTGTACGAGGAAATGCTCCGCAGCATTGTCTCCGACGACCAGGACGACATCCAGGCGCTGCTGGCCTGGCGCCCGCCCACGGCCACGGCACACACGGCACAACCGCCCGGCACGACGACGGACCTGCACCTCCACGCCTGGGCCGGCGTGCCCATTGTGCTCATTGGCCTCTTTGGCAAAGTCATGGCCCTCTGCCGCCGCTCGCGCAAGGCCTGGCGCACGGCGGCCCGCGCCGCCACGTACCAGCTGCTGTACCAGGCCATGCAGGACATCCAAGAGGGCCAGGCCCTGGAGGCCGTGCTGCTGGCCATGGAGATTCAGATTCCCGCGCCCGACCCGTCGGTGGCGGCAGCGGACGCCCGGTTGCAGGGCCACATCTACAAAGCCGCCGAGGCCTTCAGGCTGTCGTCCCTCCTCCAGCTCTACCAGACCTTTCCCGACCTCGTGTCGCAGCACCAGAACTCCACAGGAGCAGGGCCGGGACAGACTCTGCTGGGCCCGCCCATGGGCGACAGCACCGCCCCGGCCACCGGCCGCTGCCTGCTGCCCCTGGTCCTCCACATGGTCGACCTCATCCGCGGCATCCCCGCCGACTCGCGCATGCGCTGCCTGCAGCCGCTGCTGTGCCTGTGTGCAGGGAGTGCGTTGCGGGTCGAGGGCCCCGCGGACGAGCCGGCCGACCAGCCACCGGCTACGTCGGCCGTGGATCTTGTCCTTGTCAGCGGGCGGGCCACGGACGGAGGTGGTGGTGGTGGCATGCCGTTGCTGGACGAGTTTGACTTTCCACTGGCGAGAGACGTGGGTGATTCGCTGGCGCTGGCCACCGACAGCGCAGCGGTCCACCGCGCGCGCGATACCCTCCGCACCCGGCTCGCCAAACTCGAACAGAACCTGCCGCCTCGCCCCATCACAGTCGCCCGCCAGCTTCTCGAGACTGTCTGGCTCACCTACGACACGGAAACGCCGCCGAGCCGGAGCCACTGGCTGGACATTATGGCGGAGACCAACTTTGAGAGTGTTTTCGGATAGGCGAACGAGGCAGTTGCCTTGCTACCAAGTTGACGATTGTAACGAATTGAATGGATTGCATTGGATCTACGTAAACTGGACGAGAGAAGAGGACAACGTGACAGTTTAAAGGACTTGACAAATTGTATGTAATCACGATTAACATTGGAAAGAAACCAGACCAAGACTCAAAAGCAATCCAATGCCCTACTGCCGGCTTCGACGTTCCCACCTACAACCTTGACTTCATATTGATGTGGATGGCCTTGATGGTCGAGTAGGCCTCGAGACCGGCCTCGCCCAGCTCGCGGCCGATGCCGCTCTGCTTCACGCCGCCAAAGGGGATGCGCCAGTCGCTGTCGTTGCTCGAGTTGATCCACACCATGCCGGCCTCGAGCTTCTTGGCCACCCGGTGCGCGCGCGTCAGGTCCGTCGTGAAGAGCGCCGCGCCCAGGCCGTACTCGGTGTTGTTGGCCAGCGTCACCGCCTCCGCCTCCGTCGCAAACTTGCCAATCACCACAAAGGGGCCAAACACCTCCTCCTGGAAGATGCGCATCGTCGGCTGCACGTCCGTGAAGACGGTGGGCTCGACAAAGTAGCCCTTGCCGCCGGCGCCGGCCGTCGTGGCGGCGCGGCCGCCCGCCACGAGGGTGGCGCCCTCGGCCTTGCCGACGTCGACGTACGACAGCACGCGGTCGTACTGGGCCTTGGTCACCTGGGGGCCCTGGAAGGTGGCGTCGGCAAAGGGGTCGCCGACCTTGGAGATGGCGTGCACCTGCTTCTGGAAGGCGGCCAAAAACTTGTCGTAGACGGACGCGTGCACGAGGATGCGCGACGTGGCCGTGCAGATCTGGCCCTGGTTCGACATGATGCCGCCGTGGGCCCACTCGACGGCCTGGTCGAGGTCGGCGTCGGCAAAGACGAGCAGCGGGCTCTTGCCGCCCGTCTCGAGCGTGATGTTCTTGAGCGTGCCGCTGGCCATCTTCATAATGTGCCGCGCCGTCGCCGTCGAGCCCGTAAACGCAATCTTGTCCACGCGCGGGTGCGTCGCCAGCGCCGCGCCCGTCACGGCGCCCGGCCCGTTGAGGATGTTGACGACGCCCGGCGGGAAGCCCGCGGCCACCACGAGGTTGGCAAAGTACAGGATGCTCAGCGGCGTCTGCTCGGCCGGCTTGAGCACCACGGCGTTGCCGCACGCCAGCGCGGGGCCCAGCTTCCACGCCGCCATCGACAGCGGGTAGTTCCACGGGATGATCTGGCCGCAGACGCCCACGGGCTCGCGGACCGTGTACGCCAGCTTGTCCGGCGTCGTCTCAATCACCTGGCCGAACCGCTTGTCCGCGTAGCCCGCGTAGTACCGCAGCGTCTCCGCCACCTCCGTCAGGTCCTCGTCGCGCGCCACCGCGTACGGCTTGCCGTTGTCCCACGTCTCGATCGTCGCCAGCGTCTCGCGGTGCGCCTCGACGAGCTCCGCCAGCTTGTGCATCAGCTTGCCGCGCTCCGTCGCCGGCAGCTCGCCCCAGGCGGGGCCGTCGAGGGCGGCGCGGGCGGCGGTGACGGCGCGGTCGACGTCCTCGGCCGTGGCGGCGTACACGGAGACGATCTCGGTTTCGTCACTACGAGATCAGCGACTGAATACGAATAAGGCGAACAGTATGGGGCGAAAGTCCGAGAGACACGCAGAGCGACCAAAGAGGACGACAACACAAACTTACGTGGGGTTGATGGAGGCGATCTTGCCGCCGTCAGACGACTTCACCCACTCGTTGTTGATGAAGAGGCCCGTGGGCTGGCTGTAGGACCGGCCGTTTGGCGCGGTCAACTGGACGGCGAGGTCGGCCATTGTGTGAATTGGAGAGTTGGCGTGTGTTTGACGATGGAGAGGGTCAAAGTGTGGGAAGAGCGGAAGCGAGGTGACTGAGAAATGGTCTCAATATGAACAGAGACAAGAAGAGACGGCTATGCGAAAGAGATGCGAGATGAGGAATGCAAGTTCACATCGACTCGTATCTGCCGCGCAAGTCCCGATAACTGGTGATAAACGGAGGACGCGAGAGACGATTACAAAATGTCTCGCACAAGTTGTGTGAATGGGGAAGCTCTTTCCTGTTCGACAGCTGCCAGCGATTCGACCGACTAGGAAAGAACAAGCGCAGCGATTCAAGGACGCAGAGCGGTCGCTCCTCCCTTGCACCGCAACTGGCCGTTGTGGCCATTTAGTTTGGACATTCCTTCCCAAAGAGGAAAAACAGTTGGAGAGCTCTTTCGCCTCGTACCCCTCCTTCCCGCCCCTACTTCTCACGCCTCTGTCCCTATCTACAGCAAACAGCCTCACACAAAAGGCCCATCGGCCCCCACCTCTGTTATCGGAACCACAGCCCAATGCCGTCAACAGCTCGACAGACAGCCCGTATCAAAGTGTGGGGTTGCCAGGTGATGTTGTTAGGACTGGTTGTGTTCGTTGAGACACTGGTGACTTGAGCATCAGAAAAGTGGGCGGGACATTCGGCCTGTTTTCGGTTTAGCCTGGATTTACAGCGCTGTTACAGCGCTCTTACGGAGTACAGCGTGACGGTCGTGCTGATGGTGGCCCTCCCTAAAAGATGACGTCCCTGTGCAGCCCACTAAACACGGCAGCCTTTCCCCACACGTCCCCGGGCGTCCCATCGTCGTGGCTTTGTCGACTTACACCGTTTCTCCATTTCTTTCTTTTCCTCCTTTCCCCTTTTCTCCTCCCGTCATTTACATGTTGTATTTCGGCTGGATTTTTGTTACGTACTGTTTTGTCCCAAGCGTCTGGGGTAGCCGGCACCAACGCCCGTTGTCCGCCGTTCTCCGTATTCGCCCCAGACGATCCTCCCCAGACCGTGCTTGATATTGCTTGTTTCTCTCGACCGTGACTCTTGGCTTTACTACTTAGTTTCGCCTCTTTCTTCTCCGAACTCGACACTTGACTCTCCTCTCCACGGCCACACGGGCCCTGTCTGTCCACTTCCCCGCACAAGGAACAAGACCAGCACAGAACCGAAGGCGTGGCTTATCTGTTCTCGCGCCTCGGCGTTCCACTTGTCCTATCTCTGCCCGCTCTGGTTATCACAGATAACTCTGCCCTGGAAATGCATTTACACATCCCAAATGGGAAAGTCGACGCGAACAAATACACGGTCTTATCCACGCTTCGACCTTCTCAGTCCAGTCGTGTCGGCCACAGCTGTGCTCCGCAATTGCACACTGGTCCTCGGTGTGCCGACATCGCCATCTAACAAAGCGGTCGTTGGTAGACAAGTGGGCAACATGGGCGTGTAGCAGGTCCGAGATGAGCCGTTGTATCGTGTGTCTGCCCTGCCCCTCCGGTGCGAGGTTGTGAGTGTGTTCAAGTTATCAATTTAATATTCAGGACAGTGTTACACAGTGATTTATGTGTAGATCTTTGCTTCTGCTTTCCAATTCCGCTCTGTTAAATTACATTTGACTTCCACGATGATATTCGAAATATTCAACAAAAAAGTTTCATTATCCAAGAACATGGTATCATAAGCTAGCCTAACGTAGCACTAAATCAGTCCCTAAATTACCACCCTTTTAGGCGGTTGCCCCTAAAATCTCACCCTTTCTACGGTCGTCGTCGTCGCCAGTCTAAGCCTGTAGTTCGGTAAAAATACACTGTAATCGTAACGACGCCTCACGCAAGCCCCCTCGTTACAAGTCCTTGCGGTCGGGCGACACAGTCTGTGCAGCCATCTCGTTCTGCGCGTAGATGACACGCGCCACCGACTCGCGCGTCTCCAGGTAGTCGCGGCGGCCGCGGATGAACCAGAACGCCGTGGCAATGACCATCATGACGCCAAACACGGCAATGGCGTAGTTCATGTCGCTGGCGCCCGGGTTGGGCGAGCCGGGGAACAAGAAGAAGACGGTCGTGATGGCGCAGTAGACGATGGAGACCCAGTTGCACACGGGGCCCAGGCGGCCCAGGTGGAACTGGCCGTGGGGCGGCAGCTTGCCGCGGCCCGCCCACAGGAGCGCGAGGATGGGCATGGCGTAGGAAATGGTGAGCGCGATGGTGCTGACGCTCAGAATGGCCGACAGCACGGTGTCGGAAAAGGTGTAGAGCACGCCGACGAGGCCGACGAGGGCGCCCTGCAGGTACAGCGCGTTGGCCGGCACCTTCCAGGTCGGGTTGACGGCGGCCAGCGTGTTGCTCCAGGGCAGGCCGCCGTCGCGGGCGAAGCCCCAGGTCATGCGCGAGCCCGTCGTCAGGATGGACACGCCCTGGCCGAGGCCGTTGAAGATGAAGAGGGCGAGCAGCACGGCGCTGCCCTGCAGGCCAATGGTGCTCGTGCACAGGTCCATAAACGGCAGGCCCGTGGGCCCGTTCAGCACGTCGTCGAGCGACTGGATGCAGAAGAGGCAGACCACCATGAAGACGAAGCCCGAGAGCGCGCCCATGGCGACGGCCAGAAACACAATGCGCGGCATGTTGCGGCGCGGGTTGGGAATCTCCTCGACCATGTGGATGGCCGAGTCAAAGGCCGTCAGGCCGTAGGCGGCCTGCACGAGGCCGATGAACCACGTCACGCCGTTGCTCCAGCCGGTCTGGTTGATCCAGGTGCCAAAGACAAACGTGCCCGACTGGAAGGCCAGGTTGCGGCGCACGCCCACGGTGATGAGCAGGGCCAGCATGAAGACAAAGAAGAGGCCCACAAAGCAGACGCCGACAAAGTTGTTAAAGTAGGGCAGGACCTTTTCGCGCCGGCAAAAGACGAGGTTGAGGACCGTCAGGAACACGGTGACGGCCAGGTACACCAGAAACTGGATCCAGCCCGTGCTGGCGCCCTCCCAGTCGTTGTCGAAGATGACCTTCATGCCCAGCAGAAAGTCCGTCATAAAGGCAATCTGCGACGCGCCCAGCGTCCACCAGCCAAAGGTGTTGATCCACGCGCAGTAGTACGACGCCACCTTGCCGAGGGCCGTGGCCTCGCCGCCGGGGCCTTCGAGCAGCTTGTGCACCCAGTAGGCCTGGCCCAGGGCCGTCGGCATGCTGCTGACGAGCTCGCCGAGCGAGACGGCGATGCACAGGTTGCAGATCGTCACGAGCACAAGGCCCCAGAGGATGCTGATGGGCCCGCCGTTGGAGAGGCCGCTCGACAGGTCCTGGGCGAAGGTCGACCACGTGCCCAGCACACAGAACGCGAGCGACAGCATACTGAAGACGCCAAACTTGCGCGACATGTCCTGCGAATGGCCCATGGCCGCGAGGTCCTGCTCATCCCGCAGCTCCTGTTCCTCGGCCTTGGTACGGCCGTTGGGAAGGTCGCCCATCGTGGTGGAAGGTGTTTTGTGACGAGGAAGAAAAGAAAACGTGGTAATAAAACCAAAAGGAAAACAGTGAAAAGACACAGAAGAGACAAATGAAAGGACAAGTCAAGGGTTGGATGACGCTGCCACCGGGCACCGACTTTAGGATTCGGGCAAGACGAGGTACCAATCCGAGCTTTGGACCATTTTCTGGAGGACGGTTCAGGGAAAAGATAGGAAAGCGTGTGAGGAGATGGTGCCAATCGACCAAGACGACCAATTGACAGTGTGAACAAGTATCGAAGTCGTGTGGTGTGTGTTTGCGTAAAGTCGCATCATACGTCCTCGTGGCGCAAACGGTGATGCCGTCTGATATATGTAGTTTGCAAGGGCCTCCCGGCTGACAGCGGTGGTCCCTTTTGGCAACGCCGGCGACGGAGTGGAGGAGTGAGGAGAAAAAGGGCGCCCTGGTCGACTTGCCCTGGTGCTTTGTGATGAAGGTGGTGACTCGGTGGTAGGCGAGGTAGGCTCGCTCCTCGGCAGGGTAAGAGCAAGTGATCGGCTTTGTTTTCCTGGGGTGCGCCTGCCGGGTCGCCTGCCGTTCTTCCCTTGTTTCGATTCTTTCGCCCTTTCCCTTTCTGTCCTATCAGTCCGTCTTGGTTCGTGCCTTCCCTGTTCTTTCTGTTGCCCTTCCCCGCAAATCTCAATCAGTGTGACAGGCGGCCGATAGTCAATAGTCAGATACAGAGCACTGGTCTTGTCTCCATATTATTCTGTTTCGCTTGCGTAATTGTCGTCCGTCATGGGGAGAACGAAAGCCATGACTTGGCGCGTCGTCCAATCTGCCACGCTCACCCTTCGCCAACAGAGCAATACGACTTGAACCTGCTTCCAATATTTGGGGCAATTGGGGAGAGCACGTCTCAATGTCCAGGTGTCACTGCGGGGACGAATTTTCTGTTTTCGTTGTGCTAGTTTTGCGCATTCCTTCGCTCCTTCCACCTCCTCACTCTCCCCAAAAAACTAGCGTTCGCAGCCACCGTTGGCACCTTCCTTCTTGGAGACTTGAACCTGGAAGTCTCGGCCACAGAAGCCACCTGGGGCAACAGCGACTGTCTTTCCCGTCTGTTTTGGCAGGCGGGTGTTCTTTGAGCTTTTCGGTGGTTTCTACAGTCCTTTGTTTGTCCATTTTTGTCTTATTTTGTGTGATTTGCCTCCACCGCTATCTTATCTTGACCATGTGGATTTTAGATTCGTAAATTCTACAGCGATATTATTCGCTGCAATCCACAATCGGCCAGCCCTAACGCGGCCACCTCGCGTACCTTCCTCTGACAAGGCTCGCGGAAAGGATACGTTAGAAGCAATAAAATACGAAATAAGAGGAGAAAGAGCGATGTTCGCCGAGATTGAGGATAAGGACGGAAGGACCATTCAGCGGTTGTTCTTTCTACTTGCAGTAACGCTCTGCTATCGCACCTGCCCCTAATACCCTAATGTCCAGTCCATACCTGGGTTGGTCCTTCCCTGCCGGAGCATCCTTGCACAGTATCTGACATGCCGCTATCGCCCGTGGATTGAGTTGCTGGATTTGAACAAAAACTCCCCAAATAACTTGCATCGTCAGACCGACTCATTGAGAATATCCAACACAACCAACACAACCAACACAACCAATCTGACATGAGGCAAGCCAACTCGCACCAAGCAGCCAACGGAACCCAAATCTAGCCTAGTCCACTCGGTGGCAAGTGGGCTCGCCGGCCCCGCCGCCGTAAACCCAAAGCGAGCAAAAAGTCCATGGCCAGCGCGGACTCGGCGAATGAAAAGACAGGGCGGCCAATACCCGTTCTTCTGTTTCGAGGACCCAAAGAAGGACAAGCTGGACGGGCACGACGGGCATGCCACAGGCACATTGCGGACACACAAGCAGACAAAGCATTCCATTACCAAATCGAGGCTAAGGCAAGGCGGCGGTTGCAGTTACATCCTGGCGTCCAAGAACCCCAAACGAGCCGGCTCTCCCTAAAGACGCCTGGATAAGGAGCGGAGATACGACTCTTGGGCTGTGGCTCTCCTTTCCTCTTTGAGAAAGTCCACGCGCACGAGCTGCAAGATAGGACGAGGCGAGAGAGGACAGGAGACGCAAGATGAGGGGCTCGCCGTGAAGCGTGGAGGTCAGGCCAGAACCGGCGGATACTTGGGGGAAGCTATGGGTGGAACAAAGCGACACGTTCGGCGGCTGCCAACGGCCAGGCTCGTATCTGTCCTGGCCGTGGGCGGCGTGGGACGAGCCAGTGGCCGCCGTCTCCGGTGCGAGGATGGGGGTTCATAAGCTCCCGGCTCTTCCTTTCTCTCCTCATCTTCGTGGATTCTCTTTTGTCTGCTCTCTTGTTTCTCACCACACTTCACCGTCAGTATCTTGACTGCACACATCTGCCCACCGCAGCATTATTCCAAAGCCTCGCTTGTCGCGTCGACAACCACCGCGCCCCAAACCCCCAACCCCCATCCCCCATCCCTGATACAAAACAGCCTGCTACGGGCACACCACCACTCGCTTGTATGGACGACTTCCACAACAGCAGCAACCATGAACATCGACACAACTTCAATTGCGGGCTACACAATCTTTCGGGCCGAGGACACTGGTTCCTCAGTAGTAGAGCCTTCGCTGCAGCAGCCCCTCGTGCATCCGCTGGACCAGCTGTCGATTCATGAAATCACCCTCGCTGCCAAGATCCTCCGCCAGCATGCTCAGCCCAAAGAGCTCAAGTTCAACTGCATCACCCTGCGTGAGCCCCCCAAGGCCGAATACGCCGCCTTCCGCGAGCGGCGTGGCCCCCGCCCGGACCGCAAGGCTTTCGCCATTGTCCTGGTCCGTGGCACCATCGTCTGCGCCGAGGTCGTCGTGAATCTCGCGTCGGGCGTCGTCGAGCTCTGGAAGGAGGTCACCGAGGTCAACCCGACCCTGACCCTCGAGGATCTCGACATCACCGAGCGCGTCTGCCGCGCCGACCCCCGCGTCATCGAGGCCTGCCGCGAGCTCGGCATCACCGACATGGCCAAGGTCTACATTGACGCCTGGGCGGTTGGTTTCGACGAGCGCTGGGGCCACGATCGCCGCCTGCAGCAAGGCATCGTGTACTACCGCAACTCGGCCAACGACAACCAGTACGCCCACCCGCTCGACTTCACCATTGTCGTCGATACGGAGCGCGAGGAGGTGCTGAGCGTCGACATCCGCCGCGTCAACGGCGAGCGCACGGCCGTGCCCCTCGAGGAGCACAACTTTTTGCCCGAGTTCGTTGGCGACCAGTACGTCGAGAACCTGCTGAAACCCATTGACATTACGCAGCCGCAGGGCGTCTCGTTCCGCATGCGCGGCAACGAGCTGGCCTGGGGCCAGTTCAAGATGCACATTGGCTTCAACTACCGCGAGGGCATTGTGCTGTCGGACGTGCGCGTCGACGACCCGACCGCCGGCCGCCAGCGCACGCTGTTCAACCGCATGTCCGTCGTGGAGATGGTGGTGCCGTACGGCGAGCCCAGCGCGCCGCACCACAAGAAGCACGCCTTCGACGTCGGCGAGTACGGCACGGGCCTGATGACCAACTCGCTGCAGCTGGGCTGCGACTGCAAGGGGGCCATCCACTACCTGGACGCCATTGTCTCGACGGCCCGCGGCGACGCGGCGGTCATCAAGAACGCCGTCTGCATCCACGAGGAGGACAACGGTCTGCTGTACAAGCACACCGACTACCGCGACGGCACCGTCATCACGGCGCGCGACCGTCGCCTGATTATCTCGCAGGTGATCACGGCGGCCAACTACGACTACTGCTTCTACCACATCTTCACGCTGGACGGCACGTACAAGCTGGAGATTAAGCTGACGGGCCAGCTCAACACGACGTGCATGCACCCGTCAGAGACGGCCGCGCCGTACGGCACGGAGGTGGCCCCGCGCATCAACGCACACAACCACCAGCACATCTTCTCGCTGCGCATCGACCCGGAGATTGACGGGCCCAACAACTCGGTGGTCATGACGGACGCCGTGGCGGCGGATGATCCGGTGGGCTCGCCGGGCAACCCGTACGGCAATGCCTTCTTGGCCAAGAAGACGCTGTTGCGGACGGCCAAGGAGGGCGCCACGAGCTACAAGCACGAGACGAGCCGGTCGTGGAACATTATCAACCCCAGCTCGCTCAACGAGACGGCGCACACGCCGGTCGGCTACAAGATCATCAACAACAACTGCCCGGCCGTGCTGGCCAAGCCGGGCAGCATGGTCTGGAAGCGGGCGGCGTTTGCGCGCGAGTCGCTGTTTGTGGTGCCGTACAAGGACTACGAGCTGTTCCCGGCCGGCGACTACGTGCCGCAGTCGGACGGCGCGGTGGGCCACCCGCACAACGCCACCGTGCTCGACTGGGTCGAGCGCGACGAGAACATTGCCGACACGGACATTGTGTGCTACGTCCAGTTTGGCCTGACGCACTTCCCGCGCTGCGAGGACTTCCCCGTAATGCCGTCGGAGCCGGTGAGCGTCATGCTGCGCGCGACCAACTTCTACCAGAAGAACCCGGCGCTGTGGGTGCCGCCGTCCATTGTGGCCGTCGACGCGTCGTCGACGCATGCCTTTGCCAAGGGCAACCACAGCGCCGCGCAGCCGGTGACCGGCGATGCCGCTGCGACAACGACGACGGCGAGTGGGTCGTGCTGCTCCGGCAGCAAGCCGCGACTGTAAAATGTTGCAAACCACTGCAGTCCGAAGCGTGAGGGTCTGAATCTGAATCGACCGTAAAACGTCATTCATATCTCGCACCGTTGCAGGCCTTTGTCTTTATCACGTCCTTTTTCCCTTCTTTCTTCCCAGTTTGGTTCCCAAGGAAGCCTTGTTCGTTCTTTTGATTTTTGCTGCGTCGAGGGTACGCGGGTGGCATGTCACTAGCAAGTTGAACATTCGAATCGTAATTCAATTCATCATGTCATGAAGCCCAACACCCATCTCTGCGATGTGACTACTATCTTGTTATAAAAAGAGCTTGATTGTATAGACAGGCATACTGGTACGCGTGAACCGGTACTCCCATCCCAGCGACGTCTTGTAACCAAAATTTATCGTCCGGCATCGTATTGTAAGGCCATCGCCTCGAGGGACCAAGCACAGGATGCACCGTGTGTACATCACTCGCATTGGCCCATTGGTCAGACAATATGCCCGTGCGGGTAAAGACTCGGTACTCTATTCTGTATATACGCATTTTATTGTTTACATTACGTTGTGTAACAGCCCAATATACAACACGAAAAAGCTCACCGAGAATTTCCTTTTTTGGAGGTGCTCCTGTGCCGTCCCTGCGCCAGCCTGCTTAGTGGATGTGCTCCCTGTGCTCCCCGTGTTCCCTGTGCCCGCTGTGCCTCTGGCTGTTCCATCGCGAGCCGGCACAGCCACAGAACCGTTTTCTAGGCCGCCATCTGGTAGCTCGATAAGCACGCTTAAATGCATCTCGAAAGGCCGTAACAAAATGAAACATAACTTCATTGAGGTGGCAATGAGGTATGACTTATAGCCCCCTATATAAAGAGGCAGCCCATTTCTCTCGTCTCTGACTTCGGCCACCCCCTGCACGTTTTCAACTTTCTCGCCTTCCTCTTATATTACCGCTTCCTCTTGATACCTTTGCACTGTACGAAAGCTCGCTCTTGCAAAGAATCGAACGCGTAAGGCTATTTAACCGACCAAGGACTCGTTCGAAAATAGAGAATAGTTTGATTTCTTAAGTGTTCACGATGTAAGGCTAACATTTTCATAGAACCAATGAAAATTAAGTAGCAATCGCTTTAGCAATAAACATCGTCCCGTCATAAATAATCTGTTTTAAGAGTTTGTGAATGTGGTTGTGCTTTCCAATGCCTTCCTGTGCTCCCTAGGTCGATGGAGCCACAAAGTTGTACACCACCTCTCCATATTAGAGCAGTTTGACTTTGTTTCTCAGGCTTTGAATCGTGTACACACTGCGGAGGAGCTGGTAGTAAGTGACCGTCTGGCCTTGTGGAATTCGAGGAGTAGCTCTGTTTGCTACGTAAGGGTGGATGGGCTATGGATGTTATCACTATCGTTGACGTCCTCGTTGACACTATTTGAATTGTCTTGACCGTCGTCGTGATGGATACTGTCTGGCCGTGCATTCCTGACTCTGACTCTAACCGGATCAAACGTCTGCAGCACTTTGGCCTTCCAAGCATCTAGCTGGCCCAGCAATTTGGAGAGAGTGACCTTTAACTGGAATCGGTGGTTATGCCCTTCTTGGTAAAGTCGCCTTTGATGGTCCACGTGTCGCCGTCGTTATACGACACCCACTGGTTGTCGCCCCACGATGTCTTAACGGCCGCGTCCGTATAGAGTATAGAGCGTCGGCTGCAGGCCGTTCTCGGCGATGATGGCCTCGATCTCGCTGTTTAGCAGAATGCCCGTCTGGTCGTTACACGCGCCCGGATCGCCGCCGGAGAGGTATGGGCATCCCGGCGCTGTGTAGGCTGCGCTCGCCACCGTCGTGCTGCGGCCGTACATGGTAAGCCCCAGGTTGACCTTGGCCGGGTCGACGCCGTTGCGCCACAGCAGGTTAAACGAGTCGTGGATCTCCGTCAGGTTCGTGTGTGCGTTGAGATACGCCCCGGTCCACTGGTTGCCAATATCCCACGTGCCGTGCAGGTCGTACTCTATTACGTTCAGGTGGCGTAGTGCAATTGTAAATCCACAGCGGCTCAATCAGCGACATCCCTCGTCTGGCTCCTCGCCAGCGTGCGGAACAAACACAAGAGGGATCAGGAAAAGGAATAAAATATAAAATTATCCCATAAAGCAAAGTAGAACCGCTGGGTTAAAATAAGTAAAAATAAACATGGCTACCTGGGTATAAATTACACCGGCTCAAAGCGAAACAAAACATTGGGGAACGTGATGGGTATTGTACCAGACCTCCTCTTACTCTTACCATCCTTTGCCTTCTCGGTTTCTCCCCCATCTTCGTCCAACACCCCTCTCGCCTTCTTCTCGCCGTCCATCTCTTCATCTTTCGCAACTTCAACGAGCAACACCAGCTGGTCACGCGCAACGGCCATCTTTTTGGCCAGCGGGTGGTCGAGGGTGCTGATGCTCTCGAAACCACGCAAGGCGTCACGGGCAAACTCGAGGCTCTGGGCCGCGTCGCCCAGGATGTAATAGCCCTTGGCTAGCTCAATCAGCGTGACGAGGCGGTCTGGGTGGTACTCGCCGCGGTGCGAGTGCATACTCTTCTGGCGGTCGGTAATGTCAGATAGGATCTCAAGGGCCTCTTTGCAGCGCCGCTGCTCGTTGAGCACGCAGGCCAGCGTCTGAAGGCCAAAGAGCGTGCCGATGTGGTTTTCCTCGAGGGTGCGGCTGGCAATGGTCAGGCCGTCGCGCAGGAGCTCTTCGGCGCGCGCGTGTTCGCCACAGGCGCTCTGGACAATGGCGGTGTTGACCATGGCCAGCAGGGTAAATGGATGCTCGCGGCCGCACTGGGCACGGCGCGTGGCAAGAATGGACTGCATGGTGGCGGGCGCATCACGGAAGTAGACGCCACCGAGCAGCGCGCCGACGCGGCAGACATTCTCCTTGGCGAAGAGGGTGCGCTCATGGCCAGGCCCGTGGGTGCGCGTCATGCCGTCGACGGCGCGGCGGTGCAGCTTGTAGGCCGTTTGCATGTCCTCGGGCGTCCAAAATTTGGCGACGGTCAGGCCCAGATGGTCAATGGCATTGAGCGTGTCGGGATGCTCCGGCCCCAGTTTCTTTTCAAGTCCCTCGGTGGCCTGTTTTTGTAGCGACAAGGCGTCGGTGTAATGCCCCAGCTGCCACAGCGTGTGGCCGAGACGTTCCATGGTCCGCAGTGTGTCCGTGTGGTCCGGGCCGAGCGATTTAATGCATGTCTTGAGCAGGGCGGTTTCCAGGCGCTTTGCGTCGGGCCCGCGACCCAAGTTGAAATAAACGGTTGACAAAAACATGGTGGCCTGGCGTGACTTGCTGTGGTCGCGGCCGAGATGTTGGTGCAGAAAATCGACGACTTCCGTTAACAGAACCTCGGCATGGGTCCAGGCGCCGCTCTTGGCATATATGTAGCTGAACTTGGAGAGCATTCGGATCCGCTCTGTATCGACCGCAGGCAACAGGTTGTGCACGGTGGCAATGGGCTTTCTCGGGCGCAGGCGTTCGATCTTGGCGCGACACTGCTGGACATGGTCAACATGCGCATGGAGTCGTGTGTGGTAAACGTCGTCGGCGACGGTGGTACCGAGCGGCGGCAACAGGATCGAGGCGGCAAGCACGCGGCCGGCCACGTCGGCCCAGAGCATCTGCTCGGCAAGCACAAAGCGCTCACGCGCCCAGCGGTGCACGATGGGATGCATAAAGTAGGTGTTTTTTTGGTCGTTGTGGATCAGTAGCGACATCTGTGACAGCTCGTTCAGGGCGTCGTTGATGCGGTCGCTCACTTCTTCGTGGGAACCAATCTGTCGACCCTCGCGGATGATGGCCGGCAGGGCCTCGGGGCCGCCGTGTGTGAGGGCCCGCATCAGCAGGGACTTGCCCCAATGCTGCATCAAGTGGAGCCAGGTCAAGGGATGCAGCCGGCGCGTGTGCCCAGGTTTGACGTGCGGCTTCTCGTCGTCGTCGTCGTCGTCGTCGTCAGCTGCGGCGTCGGCGTCGGCGCTGGCTTGCTGTTGTGCTTCCAGCTGAGCATTTCGCATAGCCCGCAACAAGATTTCGGGCGAGATGTTCTCCCAGTGAAAAAAAGCAAACGTCTTGAGTAGTTGTGTTGCGTTGACGGCGGCCTCGGAGTCCTTGGCAAGAAGGCGCTCGTAGCACAGCTCCCATGTAGCATAAACAGTGTCGTTGCTGGCAGAGTCAGACGCCCGCTTGCGTCGAATATTGTCCCGGTGGATGCGCCTCCAGCTGCGGTCAAAATAGCCCGGATAGTCCTTGAGGGTGCATAGTCTTTGGCTGATGGCAGCGCCGGCGTGGATGATGGCCAGCGCTAGGCACCCGAGGGTCTCGGCCGTCTTGGCAGCCAGGCGCTCGAGCTTTGTGTCCCACGGCGCGGGGTGGGACGATGCTTTCAACAGCAGGCTTGTGGCCTCTCGGTAGTCGAGTCCCTGAAAGTCATAGTGTCCTGGCCCAACGTTCCCGTGCAGTATGTGCGTTGGGCTTTTCGTCGTGATCAGGATGCTCCCCCGGTTGCCGCGGGGAAAGTATTTCTCGAGCTTGATGCCGGGGTCGTCGGCGTTGTCGATGATGAGCAGCCAGGTGTACGGCAGGTTCGAGAGCCAGTGCAGCGCCGTGGCCACGCTCTTCTCGCGCTGGGCGTAGTTCTTGGCCAGCGCGCCCAGTGTTTGTTTCAGGCGCTCCTCTGTGCTGGCATCCACCCAGAACACGCCCCAGAAGCTGTCGCGGTTGTCATCGGCAAACTTGCAGCAGAATTGCGTCTTGCCCGAGCCACCGAGGCCTTGGATGACGAAGCGACGCTGCTGCCGTTTCGCCGGCCCTGGTGGCTGCACAAGAAACGACCGTAGCTCGTCTAACAACGCCTCGCGGCCCGTGAAAATGCTGCTCACCGACTGCGGTGTGTCAAAGTGCTTGTTTGTTGACGCCTCTTTTACCGAGGCGGCAGCCATGTCGGTCGATGCTTTCAGTTCCCGCAGAGCGTGCACCATGGCAGCGTCATATTGGTGGCCGCCGGGCAATGACCCGCCGTCGGCAATGTCCGCGAGCCCCGATCGGATGCTGCTGTCGAGCTCGCGCAAGTCGCCGGCTAGGTCGCGAAACGACCGTGTGTGTTGGTCATTTTGGTCCTTTATGGTCCGTGTGTCGTTCATGGTGACATAGGAGAAAAGCAGCTGCAGGCCCTTGCCATACGTGTCCAGCTGCGTGCGGCACCGCCGCAGCTCGTCGCTGTACTTTTTTCGTCGCGAAACCTTGCCATACCTGTCGACTAGGTTGTGGCTCCTGCTGCTGCTGCTGCTGTCCCCGGCGGGCTTGTCGTTGTTGGTGCCGCAAACATTCTCAATAATTGTCGCCAGCCGCAAGACGACTTGGTCGCAGTTGGCCATGTTCTTGCGCAGTTCTTCCCACAATCCGTCGGGTGAGCCGTCAACCTTGCTGCCAGGTGGCGATGGTGCCGAGAAGGTGTCTTTGATCACGATACAGACGCCTCGCAACGACTCGACCTCGTCGGCAAGGCTCTTGAGCTCCTGGTCGACATTCGAGAGGTCGTGTTGGAATTTGTGGATTTTTTGCACGATGCGAAAGCACACCTCGGCAATGGCAAGTGCGCTGGCTGAGATCGAAAGCGGATCCATGTTCGATGTTCGTGGTGGGCAGCGCCCGGCGAGCTGTTGTGGGATTCGTTCAAGATCTCCGTCGTATTATGTGACGTAGTTGTAGAATGGAACGAGCAAGGGGGGAGATGGCTTGTTCATAGCTTGTTGATGGCTCGATTCTTTAGGAGAAAAGCACAGCAAGGGGGACGTGAATTGTGATATCCATGGCTGGCAAGAGCGACCAGCAGAACGAACGGAAGGAGCGGAGGGAAAGGCGAGAAGCCCTGAAGAAAGGGCCCAAAAGCCACGAGGTCAGCCGCAAAATACGGAGGTGAGGAAAGAGCAAACGAGGGACGAAGAAAGGAGCAGTGCAGAGAAGAGGGAAGGAGAGGGGGAGGGCAGGACGCCAGGCAGGGCCCTCATCTGCTCTCAGCCGCAAGCTCTCAGCCGCAAACAGGCAAAAAAACAAAACAGCAACGCGGAGACCATGGGGGGCGAGCCGACCCACGAACGCTGGCGTGTGAGTAACACTCTATCCGGTGTCCACGTAAAAGGCACCGGATTCTCCTGTTCTGAGAATTGGGGCAGTGTGCGATGTATTCCTGCAACTGAAGGGAGAACAAGGACGCTGTGTAGTGGAATGGGACACAAAACCAGACGATGCCCAGAGCGATATCCAAACTTTGTCTTCGTGGGAGAGGGGGATGAGTGCTTGAATGCCCTCCCGAGCCAACACTGATCGAGGCCAGCCATGGGCCGTTCCGCCGCTGAGCTCGGCGCTTAAATGGCGCCCGCACCTGCCCCCTGTCGACGCCCGCGCCTCGTTTTTTATTTGAACAAATTATTGGAACAAAATGACGGGACGTGGATGGCTGTTTCTGCATGTCCTGGCCAATTACATGCAACGGTGGCTCGGTGGGGAGTACTTGAAACACACAGGCTCATGGCTGCCACCTCATTGGCTAGCACCTGTCCTGGTTGGTCGTTGATTGCTTTGGCCTGCCGCACTTCCATGATGGGCACAACATTCTGTACCCCGTACTCCGTACGGAGTGCTTCGTATCGTCTTTTTAAATAAGGGGTGCCCCTCGTCCTCGTGAGCGCGACATGTTGTGGATGATGAAGACGTACGGATTACGTCGTACAAGTGAGCAATCGGAGAAATAGAATGGTGGACACCTCAAACCAAAACAATACACAACAAAACAAACAACCCCCTTATCGACGACATTCGACTGAGATATTTACCCGAAGGGATTAAACCATGGGCGCCTGGAATATCCACGGTGCTTCGGCGTGACAGACGTTTCGGGCACGACGTTCGCGCAGTACCTGCTCGGCGCTCGCGGCCTCCTGACCATTGACCCGGCCAATATCGAAGCCGTGCTGTCGACGCGCTTTGAGGACTTTGGGCTCGGCCTGCGCGCGCCCACGTTCCACCCGCTGCTGGGCAGCGGCATCTTTACGCAGGACGGGCTGGCGTGGAAGACATCGCGAAAACTACTGCGTCCGCTGTTTTCGCAGTCTTTGCGCGAGCGCGATCCCAACTTCAAGACAATCCAGCGATGCGTCGACAGCCTTGCGACGTCGATCCGCCGGGCCGACTACCCCAGCGACGGCAAGGGCTTTGTGGACCTGCAGCCGCGCTTCTTCCGGCTGACCTTTGACACGACCCTGTTCCTCCTGTTTGGCGACACAACTGGCGGTGCCGACACGGACACGGACGCTGCCTGGAGTCGCGTCACGGGCCAGGCCGCCACCTTTGCCGAGGCCTTTACGACGGGCCAGGACTACCTGGCGCACCGTGGCCGACTCGGCGCCTTCTACTGGCTGCTCAACGCCAAGGGCTTCCGCCAAGCCTGTCGCGCCTGCCACCGCTTCATCGACGAGGCCGTCGACCATGCACTCACAACGATGGGCGAGAAGCCGGCCGAGCGCGACAGCTACGTCCTCATCGAGGCGCTCGCCCGCCAGACCCGGGACCGCCGTGTCTTGCGCGACCAGACACTCAACGTGCTCCTCGCCGGCCGCGATACGACGGGCTGCTGCCTCACGTGGACGTTTCGCCTGCTGTCGCGCCACCAAGCCGTCCTTGACAAGCTGCGCGAGGAGATTCGGTCCGTCTGCGGAATTGGCGCAGACGAAGCACCGCCAACGCGAGCGCAGCTAAACCACAGCTTGCCCTACCTGAAACAGGTGGTCAAAGAAGTCCTTCGCCTGTACCCGTCGGTCCCCGTCAACTCCCGTGAGGCTGTTCGGGATACGGTGCTGCCGGTCGGCGGCGGGCCCGACGGCAAGTCGCCCGTTCTCGTCCGCGCCGGCGAGGGTGTCGGCTATTGTGTGTACGCGATGCACCGCCGCAAGGATATTTACGGGCCCGACGCAGACATATTCCGGCCCGAGCGCTGGGACGAGGAACGACTGCAAAACATTGGCTGGGCCTATCTGCCCTTTAACGGCGGACCGCGCATCTGCCTGGGTCGTAAGTTGCCCCCGCCCCTGACGCAAAAGCAAAACGTTGCAAGTTCAAAGCAATACATACTAACAACACCGCAGAAGAATTCGCCCTTGTCTTGGTGTATTACACCGTCGTGCGCATGATCCAGCTGTTCCCGAAAATGACAGCACCGGCCGGCGAGCCAGACGTGCCTGTTGGCGAAGAGCGGCAGTCCTTGACACTGGTTGTTTCACCCGCTGATGGCTGCCATGTGTCGATGTACCCGAAAGAAGCGTGAAGCTAGTCAGGGGGAAATGGTTGAAATGTGCAAGATACTTACTATAACACAGACGGTACACAGGCGTGTACACGCCTGGGTAGGCATGCGTAGCATGTTGGCGTATGTGCCAGGCTGTGAAGGGTCTGTGCTTGGCCCCAAAAGACGGGCCGCGATTTGCAGGGACGTCAATTGGGTTTTTCGGCGGGTATATCAGTCTATAAAACCCAGACAAATGTAGGCAACCGAGTGTGACACAGCTTCACGACATCGGACCCAAGGTGATGCTGCGAGGCGCAATAGCTTCCTTTATACTACATTCGTAGGCCAAGGCCTTATACCCCAAGAGCTTCCCGCTCGACCGCTCGACCGCGCGGTGGAGTTTTTGTCTTGGCATTCAAGAACTCTCTTGCCAGACTTGTGTCGATGTCCATTCCTGTCCATGCACAGCGGCAGAGATATATTTTCTATTCGTTCTTTTTTTCTGCTTCGACTCTCGTTCGTTTATTTTATTTTCTTTTTCGTTACGCGTTTACTTTTATTGTTTACTATTTTACCGTTCTGAATCTTTACTTATATTTCCCCTATCTTGATGTCATCTTAAGCATTACAATATTAGAGGCAATAAGTATCTATTTAAAGATACAAATCAGACCAAAGACTAACCAAATAATCAAAGTAATTGGATACAACGGCATACGATGTAGAATTGTTGCACCCCTTATTTGGCAAGTAAACATCAGGTGACGATAGGAACGTGGGCCCCACAGTGAAGCCACGAATAACTGCATTACATAAGCCTCAGCCACCAATTTCCCCTTTCAGGAGTCCCCCTTTCCAGATACACAGAACAAACGACTCGGCATCAAAGGTCGCCAACGACATCCCAAGTTGACAAATTTTTCAAGGCATTCTATGCGACACGGAGCTCATGAAGGCGCATGACGGCGGTGTCTTTTGTGTTTCAATTGCTGACATTAACACAGGTCGTGCGGGCCAGAGAACCGCAGACGAAATGCGCGGACCACCAAAGCGTCCTTGCGGCCACCGCGAGCAGCTGCAGTCGTGTCTGAACACAATGGATGCTGCGAGAGACACATTCTGGGACCCCAGGCACGAAACCATCGTCGATGCGCCCGCTCCTGCGGAGTGTGGTGACTTGTGGTGACTCTCAGGGACGCCTGTCAACAGTTGTCCTGGAAAGCGTCCAGCAAAGACACAGAGGGAGGGGTCGCCTTCCTGGCAGAATATGCATCTCTGGAGTGAAGACTCTGTTCAGCGGCGTCTGGATTTGGCTGTTCGGGCAGACGAAGCTGCATGTCGTGGCCTCGTTGCAACCGCTGCCTCCAGGCATACAGCAATGACTCTGCAACGTCAAAGAAGCAGGCACATAAGGCCAGGACAGGATACGGCACCAGGGCTGAACCAGCCCAGATTGCATGGACGCTTCGGGACACGGCGTTGGAGGTCTAAATGACTGGCTCGTCTTGGGCGCGAGTGCGCTGTCGGACGCCAGTGCGGATCACTGATGACACAAACTCGACACTCGCATCCCCGGAACGCAACGACTCGAGTCGAGGGGCGGGACAATACGAGCCGGTTCTGGATACACGGCCACAGAAACGGCGCTGGGCGCTCGGCACGGATGGACGATGCTCGGAGAGCGATTGGCCGGATGCGGGATACCGTCCCCGACAAGAGGCAAGACAGGACAACCAAGTTTTGTCGTGAGCGTTCCTTGAGCGTCCATGGAGGCCGTGGACAGGATGAACAGGGCTGACAGCATGCAGAGGACGGCAGAAAAGTTTCTGCTGTCCACAGGCCGTACGATCGTGCACAAGACCGGCGCCCAGCTTCCAGCTTGTAGGCTTGAGGATGCCACGAGGCAACGTGGTTCCTACGACACATGAGTATGTGTTCTACAGACGACGACAATCGGCTGCCTGCTATGTAAAGATATCCTGCGGTCACAAGGCAGAAGCAGCGCAGGGTGACGTCGATGTGAGGGTTTCTGCAATGGCTGGACGGGCTTCTGTGATGCCACATCCTTGTGCGGCGCACATCTTGTCCTCTCCCACATCGAGCGACACATCGCACCGACAGAGGCGCTCCAGTGCTAACTCTTTGCCGTTTCCTGCCTCGTTGTAGGCGGTCTCCCACCAGCGGCTTCGTTTTTTCCCCCTCATTCCTCGTTTTCTTTTTCTTTGCCAATTTGTTGTCACTTGGAGCGCCCGGAGAGCTCGCTTACTGCTTGCTGCCGTGCAGTCACCAGCCACCAAACTGGATGTGCATGTTGCTCGCACCGGCTGAGTGTCTCTCAGCCCCCCTAGGATGATCTACGGTACGAAGTCGGATGCTCAGAACGCAGTAGGTGACCGTTGGATCTGCAGAAAAAAAGGAAGCACGGACAACTCGGCTCAGGCGGGTGCGACAAGGAAGTGATTGCGAAAAGATGTGCAGAGTGGCGATGTGCAAGATGTGCAGAGGAGAAGCGGAACAAGACGGACAAAACGGATACAGAGGAATTTCTCGGATGCGCAAGTCTCTACAACTGACGGCAAGGGCTCGTTCCCGCGTCGTTCTCTGCGGTTCACGTCGCAATCCAACACGACATCTCGAGAATGGCAAAAACCGTCAAGGTCAGAGTGGAACAGAATAGCACACGTCCAGCCTGGTGGCTTCTTCTCTCTTCTTTCTTGTGCGCCTCTCGCGCCGGATTCGCCCCTTTTCTCTCGGGCACACCGCCTCGGAACGTTGCATGTCGAGAGGCAGTGGAGAGGGGTCGAGAAAGAAGAAAGAGTCGAGAAGAGTCGCGGAACGGATACTGACAAACAGCGCAATCAAGTTGACGGTGTCGCCACCGCCGTCATCTTACATTTTATTTTCTTATTCGACAAAATGGGGTGTGAGGGAAGACGTAAGATGCCCCAGTGGGCGTTGCTGTGAAGGAGAATACGGGAGACGACATTGGGACACTGGGACACTGGAGCCATGGACAAAAGGAGACGCAGCGGATGCAAAAGGAGGACTGGCACTCGCTTCGAGCCCGTCCGTGGCTCGTCGCATGCACAGCTGAGGAGAAACAGCTGGGAATTCCAAGGTTTTCGAAGAGTGCCTTTTGTCTTTTTCCCCTTTCTTTCCTCTCTTTCGTTTACAGTCTCGACGAATGGTTTCACGCACAAAACATGGACAAGGCATGCACAATACACCTACGCCCCCCCGCAACGGCTGGCCATGGCAGACATGCCATGGGCTGGTAACCCATACCAGTACGAAGTACGTCGCGGCTGTCTGGCCGGCCTCCGCCACCGCATCGACCATCCCGCAAAGGCCCCCATTTGTCAACCCCCTGCAGACAGAACGGCAAAAGGAAAACAGGCACGTCTAGGTGGCTACCATTGTCTCGATGAGGTTGAGAGCTGGAGAGTTTGAGAGGCTGAGAGTTTGAGAAGCGTATGGCTGTCTTTTTTGCCCAGGATCCAGAGAGGAAGCATCCTGCGCGCCACAAGACACAGCCGACACGAAGCAAGAGGAAGAGGGCCAAGAGGGGACCGACAACGGAGCCAAAATGGGCAGGCGATGCTACGTTGAGCCAAGACAGAAAGAAGCAAAACTGTCGGTCTCATGGAGTAGAAGGTGTGGAAGGGGGGATGGGGGGGAGATGCAGAAGGGGATGCAGAAGGGGATGTAGAAGAGTGAGCGGAGAGAGAGGGGTGTATCGTATTCCAGCCAGTGAGGCAAGATGAGGGCAAAAGAGCTCAAGTCGGCATGCTACGATGGCACGTTGTGGCTCGTCTTTCTTTGAGTTCTTTTTTTTTTTTTTTCCTTTCTTTTTCCCTTTTTTTTCCCTTTCTTTTTTTCCTTTCTCTCTCACGCCCTTCCCCACCTCCTTTTCTGGTAGTCTTCTCAATGTTGCAACCACTGCAAGGACCACTGAGAACTGCCAGAGCCACTACCACTACTACTGCAGCATTTGTCACCATGTGTTCCCCCTTCCACCAGTACTCGGCCTGGGACGGGTGGCTGAAAAGGGCAATGAGCAGCCGTTTCGGTGGCAAAAGGGTGAGGAAAGAGGAAAAACAAGAGGAAAAAGCAGAGGGAAAACAAAAAGGGCAAGACGACGAGGGGAAGGATGAATAGCGACTGGGGTGTGAGCAGAGCACGGCCCACCTTCTGTCCTCTCTGAAGCGTCTCGAGGGTTTTTGGGCGACATGACCCTCTGAGCCTCTGTCACCGAATGCTGCCTCAGAGTCTCTTCCCTCCTCTGCCAATCACCAGTGTGAATACCACAGACGACCGAAAGGGAAAGAGAGGAACACAGAGTCTGAAAAGGGGCGGGCAGGGGTGAGCTGGCGGTCGATCTTCTTTCCTTTTTGCCCTCGCTTTACAGTGGTGCTCTTGGCTGTCTTGGGACGCTGTCGTCATGTTTCTTATGTTTCTTTCTCTTCTGGGAAATGCCGCTGGGCTGCACGACGACAACCGACTTTAAGCTTCGCCGCATAGACTGCGTATCTTTTGTCTCTCCTTTTCTGACCTGTCACACTGTCTGAACCTTGTTTGGCCTCTTTAGGAGACTTTTGGCGCCGTGCATCGTCATATTGTCCGACGGCCGTCCGTCGACACTCGTCGTCTGCTCTCCTTCCTCTCTTTTGTCGTCTTTCGTGATATAAAAAAGATGTGCACGCAAAAGGAATGCCATGTCTTGCTCCCCGGAGGAGAGAATGGATCGTGCTCCCTTTGACGGCCGTTTCAGCTGACCCCGACAACGACGGCACGAGGCAAAACAGCAAGAGGCGAGAACATCGCTCTCTGATCTCGCTGATCCGCTGACCGCAAAATACCGGAGACACGACAGCCGCAGGGAGGCCCAGAAACAAGACGTGCGTTTGTGGAGTGACCGACACGGCGATAAAGCGGATGTAGGACCTGTACGGCATACGACGGACGACGTAGAGAAGGGCATTGTAAAGGAAATGATCATGATCTCTCGGCATGCCTTTGCTCTGGACGATATGCGCATT